CTAGAGTCTGTATTTAACAAGCCTCTGGCAGATGATTCCAAGAGAGAAGGTGCATTGAGCAGAACAGACCCAGTCTTTCTTTTGTTATCCTATCTTGTTCCACAAAATATTTAAGGTAGAGTTAGAGGAACTAGCAGATAACCAAAGGGTAGTACAAAAGAAATTTTTTTTATACCTTCTAACATGCACCTTCTAACACCTTCTAACAAGGTGTAAACGGTACTCTGATAGTTCTCTAATTCTACTTAAACATCAGGCATCCCACACACCTCGTGAAAGACATTGCAGCCATCCTGCAGCCCTTCTGAGGCCCTCCCCGGTGCCTTCCGGACTTGAATGCATTTTCTGAAGCGTTAGCATAAGGCAATTCTAACACAGTCATTAAATGTTTATTAGAATTATTATGGAATAGGTAGCTATTGATAGATCATACAGTAATTCTATGTTGAATTTTTTTATGCTTTTGAACATATATTTTTTCTTATGAAAGTGATACATTCATAATAATTAAAAGGAACATGGAAACTAACAAAATGCATAAAGGAAATAAAGATCTTCTGCCACCCAGTTTCTCATGGATGCCACTAACATTTCATATTGTCTTTATTTAATGTGCATAAACATTTGCAGAACTAGGACTGAAGAATATATAGAAATTTACATCTGGGTTTTTTTAAACTCAGTATTGTACTAGGAATATTTTCCTAAGTCATAGGGCAATCCCTGAAAATGTGTTAACAGCTGCTTAACTTGCATGCCTGTGACGTATAGCTGACGTAAATGTCCGGATGATCACGGAGTGATGGTTTCGTAGAGGGGGTTATTTTCCAGTCACTCAAAGTGACATTTTCAAAAGCTACCTCACGACCTTAGCAAATGCTGGCAAAATACAACGTTCAGTGAAAATGCGGGAGATGGACTGTATATCCCAAATTCAGCTTGTACCAAGGTTCGGGGACACCAGGAGGTTAGCCAAAAGCAAAATACACGAATAGAGAGATTTCAGTTGGGGAGCAATGTATCAGCTTTGCATTTGAACTGTCATTCTTGCTGCTGGTCTCAAGAGGCAGATGCAGACGTGTGGTGTCAGTGGGGCTGGCAGGGACGGGATGATAGGCTAAGAGCAGGTGGTTGGGAGTGGAATTTGGAGGAGTAGCGGCAGTCCAGACCCCTCTTGAGGTGGAGTCAACAGTCCTTGGAATTGAGTAGATGAGATGTGAAGAAAGGGGGTGTCGTGAAGGTTTGCTTTGTATGGCTGAGTGAGCACTGGATGGAGGGGTGCAGTTGTGGGTGTGGAAGATGAAGAACTCGGTCTAGAACAGATAAGTTTGACACGGTGAGAAATATCCAGGCAAAGGTGTCAGAAAAGCTGTTGGATTTAAATGCCAAGGTTATAAAGAGGGTTATGCCCCAAGTCCCTAACAATTATTTTCTCTAAGTTGTGAGCAGTTTTTATGGCTTTATTATAGTATTTTGTATTTCATAAACTTCTATAATGATCAGGTATTATTTTTATAGTCACTTAGTCATATTTAAATTTTGCTAAAATATATTCATTATGGCATAATATATGCTAGTATAAAAATTGGAAACAATCTAAATGAATAGCAACAGTAGAAGACTGGTAAAAAATAAGTAGAAAGATATTCGAAAGCCCTTTAGTCACCTTTAAAAAAGATTTTGGTGTTACTGTAAAAGAAAAAGTCTGTTTAAAAATGAATGACTTTTTTGTGTGTTTTTTATTTTTAGATAAATGAAATTCTTTAAAGTGAACTCTGATTTGAGACTAAGAGAATCTAGACTACTGTAAACAATAGGATAAATACATTGATTTGCCTTAATTATTTTATCTTCAGGTTTTTTTAAAGATTTATTTATTTATGCATACATGAACTGGGGTACAGGCCAGTGGGGGGTGAGAGGATTCACCAGAGGCCAAGTGGGGAGCAGAACAGGCGGATTGACTGAAATACACTGCTGAGGGGGGAGCAGTGGGTGAGTCAGGAAAGGTCTGCTGCACTACGTGGGTAACTCTCTGGCTGGGGATCGAACTCGTGCTGCAGTGGCAGCAGATAGCTTCATAGGTTGCGTCTTAACCCCTTGTGCCACCAGGGAGGCCCTATCTTTAGTTCTTATGTGAAAAAATAGTGGTTTGTCTGTTTGTCACCAGATACTCGGTTTGATGTACAGTCTTGTAGTGTGAACATTTTGAAAATATATTAAATCTTTTTAACCAACTAGTTTCTTTTTCATTAATGACCTTATATTGATAATTACTTGTCATCAATTTATCAGCCATTAATTGGTTTTTTGAGATGATTTTATTTCTGAGAGGAACATTCATGGCTTCAGTGTTTGCCTTGTTTGCAGATAAACGTACTTACTGTCATCTACATGCATTATTTTAAAGGATTAGGGTTGTCATAAATCTTGTTAGGACTGTTACTTGAAAGGTGCTTCAAATTCTATGTATAATGAAATAGGTTAGAATAAATTATTATATAAAGAAAAAAGACAACTTCCTTCCAAAGATCACTGAGAATTTATTTTTCTTTTGTCTCTTTGAAGTTTACAGATTAGAATACATTTAACAGCACTTTCCTGCACAAATAGAATTACTCAGCATTAAAAAAAATTAAAAGGCCACATTGCTACTTTGGATTGTCAGAAATGTACTTCTTTTAATTCTTCAGCTATGGATCAATCACATATGAATAAAATTCAAGAGTTCAGATGTTAAAACAGTGGTATCAAAATAAATATAATACAAAGATCATGACTTCACACAAAGTAAGATCAAGTGTAATTGTAAGTTCTAGAAGTTAACAGTGTGATTGCTGTAAGTGTACCCCTGTGCAATATGATTTCCTCGTGCTTCAAAATTGCACATGAGCTTAATTTAACAGAAAAGTGTTTGTTCTTTCAACTCATTCACATTCACTAAACACATTCACAGACTCAGAAATGGACAAGACATGACAGTATTTGCAAAAACCACTAATGACTATGAAATTGGGAAGCAGATTTTCACCTAGCATTAGCATGAGCAGAAGGAAGGACTTTTTAGTGATTAGACTTGTTGTTGTTGTTTTTTTTTTTTTTTTTAAAGATTTATTTATTTATTTATTCATACAAGCACTGGGTACAGTCAGAAGCACGGGAGGGTGAGAGAATTCACCAGAGCCAGAGCAGAACAGGCAGACTGACGAAGTACACTGCTGAGGGGAGCAGCGGGCGGCAGGAGAGGTCTGCGCACCATGTGGGACCCTCGCCCGGTGGCCAGGGATCGAACCGGTGCTGCAGAGGCTGCGGGCAGCTTCGCAACCCAGTGCTCAACTGCTGCGCCACCAAGGAAGGCCCCGTGATTAGACTTGTTAAAGGTGGAATTGCCATCGGTCACTGGGGGCAAACAAGGCGAGACGCCTGCCCCCTGGGACTGTAGAGATGGGCCTTGTGCTGCTTTCCGACTGAATTCGCCACTTAAATTATCTCTCTAGTAAGGTGACCCATGAGGCAGTTCTCTTAGACAGAATCATTTATTTGAGGAGTATATTCCCTTCTTGACAAGTGTGTTCTGCTGAGGTAAATGAGTGTGTGCCCCACCAGCCTGCGGAGCCGGAGAGGTGTTCACAGCTAGGGTCAGCCCTGGCAGTGATGGCCTGTTGCTCACGTGCAGGCTGGGTGCTCCCACTCCAGAGTGATAATCAGTGTTTTGACTGGCCTTCTGGAGGCTCGGAGCTCAGCTCTGTTCCTTGTACCCATGGCACCATTCTCTTCTGGTGCTGATTTTTTCCTTTGACCATCCCAAGCCCCTGTTCCTTCATTCGCGTTGCATTAGCATGTCCATGCCTTTGCTGTGCGGGCCCCCACTGGGGGCGGACTCAAAGTGGACATCTCTGTTCTATCGGTGATGGCATCTGGGTCGTTTCCAGTTTGGGTCGTTTGCCAGAAGTGTGGTGATGAACATTCTAGTATGTCTTTTTGTGGAGTGCATGCAGATTTCTGCTGCAGCCGTGTGGCGAGGGCCAGACTTGCTTTCAAGTCTTTTAATAAATAATGCCAAAAAGGTTTCCAAAAGTTTGTCCTGGGGTGCAATGTTAACAGGGTCTGATCTTGTCAAATAGGTTCATTTTTCTGAAGTCCCATGAGCATCTTTAGAAAAATCTTATTTGTGGTAGTTGGTACCTTTCTATCTTGTGCTGTAGTTATTTTTATACACACCTTATCTTCTTTCTAGATTATAAACTCCTTGGAGGGATTGTTTTATTCATCTTTTATTTCCCAAAGTACCTTGCACAGAATAGAGTCTAAAGTACATTTTTTATGTGAACAGATGAGTAAGTGAGGAAAAATTATGTACTGCATTGTATCAAGAATGTTTACAAATTACAAGAATATAAGTAGTTTCCTCCTGGTGGTCCCAGAGTGAATAGAATTAATTCACTAATATTAACTCATAGATTCTCCTGAATTCAATAAAGAATCTTACATGTTATTATATGGGAGAGTTTAGTGTGAAGTTGAATTGTGGATTTTTAGCAATTAGTCTTAAACCCTGGTGTTACCTTCCACATAGAAGCATGTAAATATTATGCAACTGTGAGCTAAATTTATTAGCTGTGAGTTTGCCTATAAATGAGAGTGCTGGTGCAGTGGCTGAGAGGAAGTCTGCATTAACTGGCATTGTAACTTCAGCTGGGGTAGCTTGACACCCTCCCCCCCCCCACACACACACACACCAGACCCTCAGTGACTGGCAAGAAGTAATGATTTTGCTGTAATTTGGGTCGGGGTAGTAGGTTTATGAGCCAAATAGAATATTAGAGACTTTTATCTAGTATCATTGCTATTTAAAACTGCTAAGTTAGGAGCCCTTGGTGCTTCTCTCCACATTCCAAACTTTACTCAATAAGTACATATTACTTTAAAATCAGAAATTACTTTCAAAAATAATTTATGTTGTAAAAATTGCTACCTTGACTGGCTCACTTTCATTTCAGTCCTGGCCTACCTATGAGGATATCTATAAAAAGGCGATTGAAATTGCCACGTTTTTAGATTTGCCTCGGTTTCCAGAGATAACTGAAGATTGCTATCTTCACCCAAACATCTTGTGTATGAAATACTTGATGGAAGTCAATCTCCCCGGTAAGTGTGTGGTGTATATATTGCGAAAGCTTTTGCCTACTGGAATTACTGTGATTAAAACGTAGCGTCAAATCACAGACACCTGGAACCACTGGACAGGACCCGTGACCTGACACTTAATTTCAGGATCCTTTCTTAAAATATTTCAGACCATTTGAAATGCTTAAAGAACACTGTTCAGAAATAGAGTTCTGCCTTGGTGTGAGGGATATGCTTGAGAGAATATGTTTGGCTGTCATATTAAGTTTGCTGTGTGCAAGTAAAATAAACGTTTCCGTGTATTTATTAGTGACTTACACCCCCACACCCCCCAAAAGCAGCCCTGGCCAGTGCACCATGCTGGATTATTACATTATGAATTTTAATTTTAAAATCCCAGAAGCCCAACCATAGTAGCACTTTCATTGTTTGGTTAACATAAACTTACTTCCGGCCCCTTAAAGCTAGTGGCGATGAGAGCCTGGAGGGATCACAGACACAGAGCGTGACGGAGCCTCTGAGACTGCGTTCTCTGCGCACGAGACGCAGGGAATGCGCTGGAATCCGGTCCTGAGCTGCTTGTTCAACTAGAAATGCAAGAAATTCAGGACTTTCATTCTAAAGAGGAAATACAAACATTGTGTGACTATACTACTGCTTAAACACTATCGATAATAGGATTGAGCATATTTTTAATAGGAAAGGAAATGACGTGTGAGAAAAGCAAAAACAAAACTATGTCTGGTGTGCTTTTAACACAGGCATCATCCATAACTGTAGGAACATACACACACACAAATATTAAGTCTGTAATCTTAAAATTTTTAAAAAATATTTTAAACCTTTCAAATGTATCATTTACTAAGCCGAGAACACATGTCTCTTCCACGGTTGAAGCTCTGTAAGATTCCAGTATTCAGGAAACCTGATTTCCGCATCTTGAGGCTGTTTTGGGTGTTTTAATTGATTTCTTGGGTGGCTCTTTCAAACTGCGAAAGCTCTCATCTCACTCATCTCAGGTGCTCCGAAGTTTGAATCTGTAAGGAATTGTTGGGTTCTGGCAGGAGACCAGGGGTGGCCAAAACAGAGCCGAGGCTGCCTCAGCTCGCAGCCAGCTCACACGGGTGCTCCTGGTCACAGAAGCTGGCAGCGTCTTCTGGCCAGCTTGTGAGGTGTCAGGGCTTTCCCGCCAGTCTCCCGAGAGCAGTGAGTAGGACCGCGGTCGCCAGTGCACAGAGGCGGTGCCCAGCTGGCGCTCCCCTGCGTGCCTTTGGAGACGGCGTCTACAAGCCAAGACCCTTGTGTTTGTAGACCAGGGCAGTGGAATCCCACGTCTCACAAAACTAACTGCTCGGTAGAAATAATTTGAAGCATAGGAAAAACATATGCATAAATGCTAGTGACCTCTTTATTTAGAATACTGACAAATCAGAAACCACTTGAATAGCCAACACAAAGGTTATGGTTAAGTCGAGGGTGGTGTGTGTGTTCCAGGGAACATTACGTGGCTTTTAAAACCATCTTTGTGAAGAGTTCTTAAAGAGAACTCTCAGAATGTTTGTTGCGACAAAAATTGAAATAAGCCAAATTGCGAAAGTCTGTGCAGTGTGGCACACGTAAAGTAGATATATGCACACTACATAAAGTGAAAGTATTCATTAAAAATTAGAAGTAAATGGGGCCTCCCTGGTGGTGCAGTGGTTGAGTGCTGGGTTGCGAAGTTGCCCGCAGCCTCTGCAGCGCCGGTTCGATCCCCGGCTACCGGCGAGGGTCCCACATGGCGCGCAGACCTCTCCTGCCGCCCGCTGCTCCCCTCAGCAGTGTACCTCCTTGTTCTGTTCCCCACTCTGGCTCTGGTGAAATCTCTCATCCTTCCCATGCTTCTGACTGTACCCAGTGCTTGTATAAAAAATATATATATATTAGAAGTAAATGAACCAAACTACACTTCTTCTATGCTTTGACAATGCGTTTTTTCCTTTTTCCTTCCTTTATGTATTTTATAAATGAAGAATTTGTATTACTTAATAGTGGGAGCAAAACAATAAACAAAATAGACCTACAAGTTAAGATGCCAAGACCCCTGTGCTTGGGATTTAGATTCTAAAATGTGGCATGACTGCAAACCGCCCTTAGGCCACATGGAGCCCCTGGAGAGTCGCCATCTTACAGTCACAGAGCGTGCTCTCGCCATGCCGGCGGTCCTGTGGCTGTTGATCAAAAAGAAGAGACTTGTGTATTTGGCACTTTCACAAAGAGAGATTTCAGGGTTCGCAGAAAGCTGAAGAAAGTTTTCACACGCCAGGACTACACACGCCCTCCTGGTGCCTGTGGGCCCACCAAGTCTCCGGAGCCAGCTGGGACGCTTTCAGCAGCGTGTCTCACATGCCTTCACTACTCTGGGACGGCTTTGAATGAGCTCCAGACACACTTGTTAGTGTCATCCCTCCCACTAGGACTGAGGAGCCTGCCAGAGAGAATTTCGGGCAGTTTGCACAGATACAGTATGTGAGGAATTTGCAGATTTGCAAAGGGCCTCCATCTATTTCATGTCAGCTGTGACGGCGAGGAGGGAGGCCAGGTGATCCTCATTACATAGAAAGCTCGAGCCCCCTGAGCTGGTAGCTGGCGGGATGTGGCAGTAACCTAGGCTTGTCCGCGACAGCACCTACTGTGTGCCCTGATCCAGCCTCCTGGGGTCTTAGTTTTGCTTGACTCTCCTTGCTTCCTTTATCATCGTATTTCCCATCGCCCCTTTATTACTCTGTGCTTTTGGTGTAGAGAAGCAGTTAAGATTTATTTAAAAGAAATGGAGGAGACATTTTTCAAGAAATGTCATTCTTCATAGTAAGAATATAAATACAGTTTTGATTTTTAAATTATCTGAGAAGGGCCTCCCCTGGTGGCGCAGGCAGTTGAGCACCACGCTGTGAAGCTGTCCGCAGCCTCTGCAGCGCTGGTTCGATCCCCACTCGCCGGCGAGGGTCCCATATGGCACGGCAGACCTGTCGCACCCGCTGCTCCCCTCAGCAGTGTATTTCAGTTGCTCTGTCTGTTCTGTTCCCCACTCTGTCTCTGGTGTATCCTCTCACCCTCCTGCGCATCCGGCCTGTACCCTGGTTCTTGTATAAACAAATAAATAAATAAATCTTTTTTTAAAAAAAAAGACATTCTTTAAAAATAAATAAATAAATGACATGAGAAGAGATTGTAGATGCTATAACCCAAAGTAGATGATATATAAAATCTTCTGAGTGTATTTTAAAAGCAGTCTTCCATGTCTGCTGTGCATCTTGTTGGAGGCCGGTGTCCTGACCATCACTCGCTTCCTGGCCCCTGGTGGGTGCACCCTGTCCATAGTGGGTGCTCAGAGCTTGCTGACTTGAGCTGAACCTTGTATCTTCCTCCGCACCTGAATCAAGTCCATGTGCAACGGGTGGAGTCTGCACTGCGCTGACCTGCTGGTGGGTCGAAGGAGAAGCCGAACCCCTGTCGCAAGGGAGACCTTCGTATCTGCGCTGCCTCCACTGCTTCGTACACGTCAGAGCCATGCACTCTGATTCCCCATGGCCCATCTCCTCTGTCCTGGGCCCAGCACTCTGCTCACCCACGGTTTCCCTGGGCCCAAACAGGGAGCTTCTTGAGGAAAAGACTGTCTTCACCCCTAATTCCCAGAAAGTAGTAATTGCTCGGTAAATATTTTGTGAAAGAATGAGCAAAATCCAAATGAAAATTTAGGTAAGTTACTAGGGCCAAGTAGACATGTGAAAATACTTGGATCTTGGATGCTACATTTTGAATTACCGTTTTTATGTATGTTCTGCTTCTGTGTGAACAAAGCATTTTTTAACCAGTGGAAATGTTTTACTTAAGCATTTCAGAAAAGAAATTAGTTTTGTATTTTGCTCATTCTTCGTAAGTGTAGGCAGTGACCTTTATGGGAAGGCAAGTGAGACCAGACCAAGTCTGCCCTCCAGTTTAAGGGGGAGTATATCAGTAAGTGGGGTACGTGACCCCGGAGAGGATAGCCCATGGAGCTCTTAGCCGTGATGGATGAGACTGAACGCTGTCACATGGGGGTCTGCCCAGCAAGCTTGAGACAAGGAAAGGGGAAAAGAAATTGACTTTTGGTGGTAAAATGTCAAAATAGTAACATCAAGCGGAGAGGCCAGTGAGAACATGGATTTGGGGCGACCTGTATTTGGACGGGGAGCTCACCATTCTAATGGGTTAGTGAGAATAGAGGGTTGGGATAGTTGAATCACAAGTGGATCAGCCGAGAGCAAGGAAGACCAGTTATGGGGGTGAGCTGAGGAGCAGCAGCGGAGAGGAAGGGAGGGTGGCCAGGGGGCAGTGAGCGTGACAGTGCGTGTTGGTCGCCTGCCCGCTACAATATGCCAGACACTTCCCTGGATCTGCGTGGTAACTCAGCTAGAGGTGATGGTGTTCCTGTTTCCTGACCATGACCAGGAGGGAGGCACAGTGTCCTGTTGCTCTTATGGGGTCACAGAGCTGCGGGCAGTTTGCTCCATCGTCTGCTCTTTTCTGTCTTGACACTGATCGGGGAGTAGAGTCATGGGACAAGTGGCCGAGTGCTTGTGGGAGACTCGGGGCAGCTCGGCACTCCTTTCTGTGCCGCTGGAAGTGATGGCTGCTCTGCTGGACATTGGGGAAGCTGGGCCGCGGGGTGTCCTAGGTACTCAGTGAGAAATGTGTCCAGTTACTTAAGAGCTTTCAAAGAACAATCACTTGTACTCTTGCTTACTCTCAGTCTGCCCTCACTGTACCCCATTTTACAAAGGAAAACCCGGGGTCAAGTGAGTCTGACCCAGAGTCACAAAACTAATCATTGAAAAGCCCGGGTATCGGCCCTAGGTTTTCTGGTTCCACACCCCACATGATTCAGCCCGGAGTTACAAGTGCAGCCCGTGGCTGAGTGCGTGTCTTCGGGAGAGCAGCTGGCCCAGTCAGCTCACCCGACTCCAGGCACTGTGCCAGCTTGGCCACCAGCCAGCTCCTGGGGGGCTCCCGGTCTTGTGGGGAGGTAGCTTTGGGCAAGTGCAGAAGCCATAGAACAACACAAGAAATGTGAATGAAATAGTCGAGTGAGAGAGAGAGTGTGTGTATGTGTGTGTGTGTCCAGGCTATGGCCTGTGAGAGTAGAAGTCAAATGGAAAAGATGTGCCTTGCCAGAATTCGGCAGCTCGTTCTTCTATATGGATATTTTCTAGTTAATTTTATTCACAGAATGTGCCTCTCCCAAGTTCTCGCATCGTACCAGGTTTTAAAATAAAGCTCATCTTACTGTGCATAGATGGCGTTAGCATGGTCCCGTTGGCCAAGAGTTTAATTCACATTTTACTGTCTTGTTCTTCAACAGATGAAATGCACAATTTTACCTGCCAAGTGGTAAAAATGACTGGAACAGGAGAAGTGGATTTTCTGACATTTGATCCTATAGCTAAAGTGGCAAAAACTGTCAAATACGACGTTCAAGCCGTAGCTATTATTGTGGTGGTATTGAAACTGCTCTTTCTGTTGGATGACAACTTAGAGTGGTAAGTGTGTGTCCATTTTGTGAGGAAGAAGTTGTATTGTTTTTACCTAATATTCAGAGTAAAGAAATCTGGGTTATCTCAGAAAATAGAGGCCCAGTTGTTACAGAGCATTGACTAGCAGCCAGTGACTTCTACCATCATGCTCTGACTCAGCTGCTTGTCAGAGATTTCATCCTGCCTTAGGAAGTCGTTTGCATCATATTGTATTTATATTTTTAGGGAGCAACACACTCCACTAATTGCTGAGTTTTAAATTGTCATAAGCAATCCTACAGTATCATCAAGCACCGTATGTGCATACTGTTCTGCTCTGGTCAAAAGAGCAGCTCCCAGGACTATTCTGGAAAGTAAAGGGACCTGGAGTGTTACCTCTCCCTAATGCCATGCAGGTGGAAGTGTTAGAGCAACTCCTTCCCCTTTGTGTGATTGCTTCGTTAAAATCTGGCATCAGATTCAAGTACTGCTTTCCTGTCAGAATTCAAGATGTAGCTTTAAATACGTGCTCGCTGAAGGACTTGTTCTTGGTGTTTCCAGGTCTTTATCTGATGTTGCTGAGAAATATAATGAAAAGAACAAAGAAGGTACTTCATTTTTTTAATCAATCAAGTTCAAAGTGATTATAAATGATGGATTAAAAGATGTAATAACTGGGCCTCCCCTGGTGGTGCAGTGGTTGAGCGCTGGGTTGTGAAGCTGCCCGCAGCCTCTGCAGCGCTGGTTCGATCCCCGGCTGCTCCCCGGCCACCGGAGGAGGGTCCCACATGGCGCGCAGACCTCTCCTGCCGCCCGCTGCTCCCCTCAGCAGTGTCCTTCGGTCCTTCTGCCTGCTCTGCTCCCTGCTCTGGCTCTGGTGAATTCTCTCACCCTACTGCGCTTCTGACTGTGCCCAGTGCTTGTAAAACAAATAAATAAATCTTTAAAAAAGAAAAAAGATGTAATAACTATAGGTAACTTTGAAAAATATACATGTATACAAATGTACCTTAAGCCAGGATTTTTTTCCACATTATTACCTAATGGTCTCACTAGTCTGCTGAAAAACTTTAGTGACTTCCTACCCTGAGTGAGGGCCAGGCTGCTTTTTTATTCCCAGTTTGTATCAATAGCCCTGCCAGACCGTGAACTTGCTGCAGCTGTGTGACTCGACCATCTATTCTCATGCCTCAGCCTTGCTCATGCTGTTCCCCTCCCTGAAACGCTTTTTCTTTCTTAACCCCCAACTCCTTCAGCAAATCTGTCTTCATTCTTAGATGCAACATCAGTACCTTCTTCTCCCTTCTCTTCACACCCATCTCACCTCTCCCACATCAGAACTAATCCCTCCTGTCACAACCAGTCCTGTCCGAACTTGCCTTAGATGTTCACGCATTGAGTCGTAACCGGCGGGCTGTCTGTCCCTGTCAGCTTGTCAGTGGCTGTCAAGTGGCTGCAGACCACCCACCCCACAGTGGGCAGCTCATACCTGGCGTGCAGTGGCAGCGCACGCTGACCTGCCAGTGGGAGGGCCATCTTCTCCTTTCTTTTCCGTAAACGTGTCTGTCATGCCTGCCATAGTGACTGCTGTAAGAGCCGTGAAGTTGGACAAAAAATGAATTCCAAAAAATCCAGTTCCAGTTTCTGAATAGTCTCACCAGGATTTATATTCACTTTTCTTAAATTTCAGTTTTATTGAGGTATGCATGAATATAAAATTGTAAGGTACGTAAAGTGTATTTGGTGATTTGATGCACACAAACACTGAAATGAGTCCTCCGTCTAGTTAATTAGCACATCCATCGCCTCACTTATTAATTGTGAGAACTTTAAGTTTTACTCTTAACTTAGCAAACTTTAATAATACAGTGTTATCAACTCAGACCACCATGTTTTCTCCTAGATCCTCTGACCTTATTCATCCATCCTGTAGCTGGAAGTCTGAACCCTTTTACCAGCCTCCCCCTCCCACCCCCACCCCCGACAACCACTTTTCTGCTGTTTCTATGAGTTTCGCCTTTGTTACTGTTTTTGTTTGTTTTTAGAGTCCACACAGATGTTCGTTGGGTTTGAGCTTGGATTTAATGGTAGCCATCTATTTGTGTGTCCTTTCTAGAATATGTGCAAAACAAGACCACTTCTTTCTGCACTTTGGTTGTGTTGGCTCTTCCATGGAGTGAAAGGCTGCAGGAGACGGCCGTCTAGGACCCTCACCACGAGTCTGACAGACCGTGTGGACACTGCTCAGTCTACAGGGTGCTTGGTCATATTATCTCCCCGTGAGCCTCAGAATAACTCTGAGCCTTCACTGGGGCAAGGATTGCTGCTCTCTTTGTACCCTGCTCTCCATTGTCTCCTGCACCCACACCCCATTTTTGATGAGGAACTTGCAATTTTGAAAAGTGGTGGCTTAAAGTCAAAGAACCCGGAGTTCTGTTATGATGGCTTAGAGTTTTTCTGGATCCGTATAGCTCTTGCGGGAGCTGCCTCTCGCCGATCACTCTGTGACCAGCAGGCTGCATGTAATTAAAGAATAATTATACTGTCCAGGGACTATCTTCATTAAAGAATATGTAAAATTTCAGCCTGTCACCGCCCTCCAGTCAGCCAGCCTTTCTTCTAACTCCCTGTAATCTGTAATCCTCTCTACTGCCTTATCTGTTATTTCTTATTTTTTCTCCCTGCTCTTCCCATCCCCCTGTATGGATTGAATAAGGGTAAGGAGTGGGTTTTTCTAGTTGACTCCATTCAACTCTGTTCCTCTGTCCTCAGCATCTTGAGCACACACGCACATCAACTGTCCCCTGCTACCCACTTTCTTGCTTGCGCCCAGATTCTTTGCATTTGAATCAGGGATAGGAGCTGAGGAGGCTGAGAGTGTGGATTCAGCCGTTGCAGCGTCATGTCATGTGTTGGTCGTTCATGCCTTAACTCATGTCGCCTCAGATGCATGAAGCACCATCTTGGGCAGGCGCTCCCCTGGGTGTCAGGTGGGAGGGAGAGGCCTGCTTATGTAGTGACAGATGAAATACGGCCCCTCCCCTCAAGGAGACAACCATGGCTCAGAGACACAATCATATACAAAGCTGTTTTCGGAATATAACCTGGTCACGGCCACAGCGTGGGTTGGTGCTCAGAGGAGGGTGTGGCGGCGTGCTCAGGAGTCACAGCAGCGCATGGAGACAGTGACTCCATCCAGACTTTCCAAGGCTAGTCTATAAATGTTTAATTATGTCAGTGAATGAAGACTCAGATGAGCAATGTGTATCATTATGTGTATATTATGTATTATTAGGTGACTGACTTGGTTAATAATAATGGATTTCATCTTTCAGATAAGCCATGGTTTGATTTCAGAAAATGGTACCAAGTTATGAAGAAATCTGTTGATGAGAAAAAACAAAAATGGGAGGAAGCCAGAGCAAAGTACGTTACCTTTTCTAGTTTTAGATTTGCTTGTCTTTTTTCCAAGTCTGCTGCTTTATATTTGAAAGCTGAAATTTCGTCAGTATAGGCTCATCAAGAGCCGGGACATGCTTCCTCAAAACATTAGCCCTCGTTTCTAATTAGCTCTTTTCTTCTTTACATGAGTGTTAACTAAACTCCAGATTTTATTTGAATTTCACAGTGTTTCCGTGAATGTCCACTTTCTGCTCATGGTCAGACCTGCCTACCATGCTGTGCGTGGCATTTAGCGTCTGCTGTTTGTGTCTTGCCTGCAGTTTTAATACCCTTTCTCAGAGTTGGTCCTTCCCTACCTGTGCTTTCCAAAACTACACAGATTACAACTGCCAGCCTGTGACACAGTGATTAGAATGTCCTCCCAAAATAAATATTCCTACAAAAAACAAAACAAAGACAAACAAAGTATATTTAACTCAGTCAGTTCCACTTTGCACTCTCCTCTGATGCAAGTCCATTTGGTAGAGGACAGGCTCAGCTTCGGAGACAGACGGGACGGGGTTTGAATCCTGGTTGCATGACAGACTGGCTGTGTGACCACAGCAGGTACTTTGCCTCTTAGCCTCAGCACCCCCAAATTCCGTCTGCTCATAAATTTTCAGACATCGTCTTATGTTGTTAGCAGAGAACATTTCCACTGATTTCTGTTTAGAAGAGTTTCATGTCTTAGAATTTTGAGTCTCTGTGAGACCCTGGAAAAAAAGTCAACATCTCTTACTTTATGTAAATTTATAGTAATAATCATTTGATCAAGTAATTTTATACCCTTTGAGAAAAATCAAGGTTCCTCAAATTAATTAAAATGATAGTTCAACACTAGTTTTCTCATCAATAAAATAGGGATAACACCCACCTATAGATTCAAACTCAACTTCTGTTTCCACAGGTAGAACTAGATTCTTTTTCCTCTAAAAGCAAGAGAACTTTTAAATAGAGAAGCAGTTTGTGGGGATGACTGAACTAAGTAGGGAAGTGGAGCCCGCCCCAGAGCGGGGAGCCAGCCACCATTGCCCTCTGCTCAGGGTGAGCCACGAGGAAGGAGAAGAGGGACCCACTCTGACAGCCCAGGCCGGGGGGCCTGGCCCCCACTTCCCTGTCAGAGAAGCACTGTCATTCAGTCAGGGTCTCCCTGTGCGCAAGAGTGGCGTCAAGAGCAGAAGTTTGTTCTGTTGTCGTAGGTCATCTCAGAGAATCATCCGGCCGTCCTCTGCGTGGCCGGGGTCATCCTGATGGATAGTGAGAGGCCAGGCGGTCAGGGCCATGCTGCTCGGGCGTCTCAGCAGTGACTAAGCACTCATTAGCCTAACCCAGGCGCCAGCTTCCGCCTTCAGCACAGCTGGTAGAGCCCACATTCACGTTGCAGTGTTGCCATCAGCTGCACGGCTGAGACTTACTAACTTTTCGCTGCTTTAGGGGAGAATTTAATGACTAAAGAAAATGTCTAATTTCAAAATGGTGTTTCCAGGGAAACATCAGGCCCCAGGGAGGAGATTGTCCAGGGATCCACAACCAAGCTCCTGCTTCACACAGTATGTTTTTTGACCAGAAATAACATGAACAAATCGTGCTGGCAAGTGCTTAAGCACAAAGCTTCTCTGCCAGCTGAGGACTTGTCTGTTTTCCTCTACCCCACCCCCTCTGTTGACATCACTTTCTCATTTTTCTCTCTATTCTTCTGGACAGCATCTTCCATGTTGTCAGATGAAGTCATTGAAGCACTTCCTATAACTGAGCAAGGCCTCTGAGCATGGAGTTGTGAAAACCACTAGCAAACACTGGCTGAAAACTAAAAACAGCCCACGAGGCTCTTTGATGACTTCCTGTCGTCAGGGGTGATGTTCAGAAGAAAGTGAAGGAAACTTTCAGAGTGTGGTCAGAAAATCATGATGGCCTTTTGCATTGGGTAAAAAAAACTCATTGATAGGGCACCAAAAGCATGACTAATAAAAGAAAAAAAATGATGAACTTGACTTCATCAGAAGAATTTCTGCCCTTCATGTGATACCGTTAAGAGAAGAAGAAGCCACAGACTAGGAGAAAATATGTGTGAGTCATATATCTGATAAAAGGTTTCTACTTAGACTGTAGAAAGAGCTCTAGTATAATAAGGAAAAATTTTAATGACCCCCAAGATTTGAACAGCTGCCCCATTAGAGAGGACAGACAGACAGAGCCTGAAGCGGCGCTCCCCAAGCCAGCTGCTGGGAGATGCGAGTCAGCCACAGCAGACTGTCCTCGTGCACCAGCTAGGGTGGCTCCACACAGATGGACCCAGCCAAGCGTGGGCAAGCGACGTGGTGCGGCCTTTTGGAAAGCCTGGCACTTTCTCATCAAGTTAAACACATGCTTATTCTGCAGCCAGTACTTTTCACTGCTATGTACTGTGAGAATGTAGAGTAACATGTTAAAATCTTTGTTTTATGTAGAATCAAGGTCTTAGTGATTTAACCAAGTCTTTTTGAAATCCTTGAAAAAAGGTCAATTCTTAAATGGTTAAAGTGGCCATGTTTACTTTCTATATGAATTTTCTTTCTTAGCATTCAAAAAGAATGGTGAAAAATTACCCCTTATGTATTTATTTTAAAAAATAAAAATATTTGCATTTCCGACTTTCTGTTCATCAACTACTTTTGTAGAAATTTCCCAGCTGGGTCGTGGCGTCTCCTCGTGGGGACTTTGTCTCGCAGCCGTCTCCGATCTCCGCTTTGCGGTGGCCTCCCTGCCTGGCCTTCCCTAGGCCAGGATACGTTGAGTCAGTGCAGGGCCTGTTACGGCTGTGTCACGCCGGAATCCAGCTTGTTTCTTCTTCCTGGCAGACACAGGATTGATTTCCAGGCGTTAAGCACCAGAGGCTGGCACTTGTTGCCTTTGTGTGACCACAAATGATCCTCAGTGAGAGCGCAGCTGGGCGGGGGCGCGGAGGAACACTTGTTTCTTAGGTGACTTTACTTTATGAGAACAGACAGCAAAGGAATTTTCTAGTGAGGGAAACCATGTCTGCATTTTTGTGTAATTAATAGCTTCTTCGGGAGCTGATGGCATCTGGAGACTCAGGGCCATCTGTGGGCCATCTTGCTTGCTTCCAGGCCAGAGGCCTTCTGCCAGACATGAGGACCGTCTCTGGCTGTCAGGTCCTCTCATCTCCACTCTGTCTCAGTGACTTCTCTACCTTGTGCAGGTACCTGTGGAAAAGTGAAAGACCACTCTACTACTCGGCCATTGACAAGTCAGTCGTGTATAAAAGGAAAGGTGAGTTGCATTTTCTCTTGCTAATGACAACTAACAACACAGTTGTGGAGAAGCTAAACATCTTGACTTGAAAAGTGAATGCATGAGTCATTTTGTTACCTCTTTGGCAGATGTTCCCGTGCACATCCCAGGAGACAGCACCTTCTGCAGGAAACCTTCTTTGGCATGTGGCTGTCTCAGGAACAGGCCGTTATTCAAAGCGGCCCAAGTTCCCAATGGGCAGTCCTGCCTCTCAGTGACTTTCCCAACTCTTTGTTTAGAAAATTGCCTCTAGGTTGTCTTGTTCCTTCTTTTTTAAAACACTGTGGTAAAATATTCAAAACATAAACTCCACCACTTTAACCTCTTTGTAAAGTAGTTCCCCTGTGCCCGGTATGTGCTTTCAGTGTCCCTCATGCCCTCCCGCCACGTGACGCCAGAGCCCTTGTCAGCACTGAGGAGCCGGTATCGGCACGTTACTGCCACTTGAGCTGCACACCTGCTTTGTGACTTGACGCTAATTTTTATTTTATTCTTTTCCTTTTTCCTCTATTTCCAGAAATGGTGGTGAATCTGCAAAAACAATTTAGCACACTGGTCGATTCAACACCGACTGTTGAAAAAAAAAGCCCTTCAAGTTTTCAGTTCAACTGGCGTGAAGAAGAGCCTGGCAAAGTGTGTTTCCACGGACATAGCCTCCAGGGGATCCTGAAGAAGAAAGGCCAGTCACTGACAACCAAGAACCCGCTGTACTGGCTTAGCACACAGAAATTCTGTAAAAGGTATGCGATGCTTCGAGAGAACATGACGTTTTGGCCTGGATAGTAGTAGTTGCTAATTTTTAAAAGTCACATATAATTTAAAGGATTTGATGTTAAAACTCGAGCAGGTTATTTGTTGGAATTAGAAGATGGCATGCTTATAATCAGAAAAAACAGAATTGGACGTTGAGTTCTGCTGAAGAGTTTTAGATATGGGCATGTTAAGGGGCCTTATTGTGATAATCATGTCACAATATATACGTGTTAAATCACCACATGGTACTCCTAAAACGTAACATGTTATGTGTCAAAAATACCACAATGAAGCTGGGGAAAGAGCTCTAGGTTACAAAGACTTTCTCAGCCTGACATTGTATTTTTATACTGACCTCATTCCCATGTTGACATGGACGCTGGTCTGTCAGGCAGGGATTTCCCACAGCAGGTCAGAGGACACGCCAGCCGGCCTGGCTTTTGTGCCCCAGCTCTGCCGCTTGCTAGTCATGGGCAAGTTTTTCACCAGCTCTCACTCTGTTGCCCCGACTGTAAAACTTGGGATAATACTGATCCTTCTCAAAACCTCCAGTGGGGCACAGGCCTCCTGTCTTCCTATGGGCACTCGGTCCTGCATGGGTTAGGGGGCGCACAAGCCTTTGTGCTTTTCGGGTGGCACAGTCAGTGGGGTTTGGTTGTTCTCTGTGAATTTAATACTGTAAAATAAGACCATTAATTGTAGCTCTTGGCCTAGTTGGAGGTGGAATAGCTGATTTTTCCCTGCATGAACTACGAGGCTAAACTGTAACACACGAATGGGGTTTCAGGGTCTGGTGACTTTCTGCGCCCAAACCACCTTGCCCCAAGCCCGCCCTGCTTCAGGAGAGCAACCAGGGGGCGGAAGATGCTTCAGCCAACCAGTGATAGTGTGAAAGGCCCCTGACTGAGGCTCCTGCACTTTCCTCGAGAGCCCCCAGCCCCTCACTCAGGGCCTGCTTGCTCTCCCTCGGTGGGTCCCTCAGGCTGAGGTATCTGGCTGCCAAAATCCTCATCACCAGAAAAACAAAGGAGGGGTCTGAGAGGAGCACTGCTGCTCGGCTTCGTGCCATGCACTGGACGCCCTTGGGACAGGATAGAGCCCGATTAGGACTCAGAGGGGACGCAGCCAGGCCCCTACCCCAGCTCGGTCAGGACGCAGAGAGCAGACCCTGTCCCCCGAGGGCTGTGTTTGCTTTTCTTAACTATATTTTTCATATTTGTACAATAAAAAAGGTCAGCTTGTAACAATATTGTGAAGCCTAAAAAAAAAAAAAGCTGGATATACTGTTCATAACAACCCGGTAATGTACAACTCAGTTTTTAAAGATTTCCATTGCAAATACTAAAATGAAATATTTTGATGCGTTACGAGACCACATCTTCAGCAACAGAGGACTTCGTTCTGCTGAAGGACCCACTGCTAAGGGCTCAGAAGAGACGGACATACCTTGTCCTGTAAAATCATCGCGAGGACGCTCAGGCCTGGGGAGGCAGCGGCGAGGGGACGGGAGCACGTCAGGCAGGGGAGCTGGCTTGTCCTCCTGAGCTGAGGCAGCGCTAACTAACCATCTTAATGAGCTTAAACGCCCCTAATAGCCCTCACATCTGTACCATCGCCTGTGTAAACAGGCCAGCTTCTGACAGCTAGCAGGCTCCCAAGACCTGTTCTACCCTCGACCTCCCCGAGGGGACAGATAGTTCATCTCCTCCAACTGGAAGAGGCTCGGCAGTGGTTCTTCCAGTTGGATTCCACAGGGAACAGCTCAGTGTCCCACAAAAGATTGATTTGAATTTTTTATCTTATTTTTAATTGTTTATAGTAAAAAAAAAAATACTCAAATACCACAACATTAAGTGGTGTCACCAGTTCATTTGTGTGCGTGCAGACTTCAGAGGCTGTGCTTCTGGGGTCCGGGGGAGGCCGTGCCCCGCCCTGCTGTCTGTAGGTGAGGCGCCCTCGTCTGCGCGTGCAGAACTGCTGGGTAGACGGTCCCGGCACCCACCGGCCACGCGTTAGTGAGTCCTACGCAGAGCAGCAGAATTGGCAACAGCAAATTATTTGTATTTGGTTTTATTTCTGATCGCTCTAGGATGGTTTTTGACTTGATAATACAGAATGGAAAAATATATAAAAGAATCCTTGTGGGGTGGCATGAGTGATTCAAATTAGAAATTAAAAAGTCCTTACTGGAGCAAATTGATTTACTTCTTTCATCTTTCTGATTTAGAGATGAGCTGCCCTGGTAAGAAAAACAGTGTTTTCACCTGAAAGAGCTTTCAAAATAGTGAAAGTGAAAACTAGGAAAGAAGAAACGCAGGCGCTGCCACTTACCTGGGCTGTGCTGCCACTTACCTGGGCTGTGCGGCTGCCGCCTGCCTGGTCCCGCAGCCAGTCCAGGCGCAGGCGGGGTCTTCATCCCCTGCTAGTGAGCACAGCAGGGAGCTGGTGTCATCGTATGTCATTAAAACAGCCTTAAGATGTTAAGTGAAAACAAAAAAAAAATCCACAAAGAAACTAATTCGTAATTCCTTGATATTCAAACATGCGGTGTTTAGACTTCCTCAGTTGTCACCTAATTTGTTTCATAACTTAAAATCTTACTAAGATCATACTGTGCAAATGGTAGAGCTGTCCCTCGGGACTTTAGTTCCTCAGTCTCCCCTTTATTTCTTTGTTTCCCCTTGCCATTTGCTTGTTTACATGCGTCCCTTACTGTGCGTTTCTCATAGTCTGGCGTTTGCTGATTACAGCCCTTGATACCATTTTACATGCTCCTCTGTCCCCTGGAATGAGTCTACCCCGGGATAGCTGGGGATTGGTAGTTAGAGATTTGATGGTATTCAGGTTCTTCTATTTTGTGAAACTGCTTTGTAAACTTTTCTTTCCATAATCCCTGTGGGATTGCAAGCAACCTTATCAAGTCTGTTGTCTGATTTTGGGTGGGGGAGGGGACTCCCCCCCCCCACCAAGAAAACGCTTCCAGATCTCTCCCCAGCTGCTTTTGTTTGCCTTGACCATGGTAAGAAGGGCCCCAAGTGGAAGCAGCTCTGGGCAAGGAATGATGCAACCCGCCCTAGGACCCCGGGCCTGGGGTGGTGGCCGATGGCAGCACTACAATGTTTGCTCTGTAAAAGCAAGAGTCCTGCCAAGGGCCCCAGGTCTCCTTCCAGCCCAGGTACTGCTGTCAAGCCTAAGCTGCACGCTCACACCATTGCTTGGGGTGTTCACGGGACAGAGGCCTACATTCCTAACGGTCATCTCAAGATAACATCTTCCTTTTTCTTCCCCTTCTAGCTATTGCAAACATGTGACAACCTATGAAGAATCCAATTTTTCTCAGAGTTACCAGTTTATATTAAATCTCTTCTCCTTCCTGCTAAGAATAAAGACCTCTTTTCTCCATGAAGAAGTGAGCTTAATTGAGAAGAGACTTTTTAAAACAAGGTACAGCAAAACGAAAAAAAAATCTTCAAGATCCAGAAGGTGAGAAAGTGTTGAAAAAATGAAATAGAAACTTTCCTGGGAAAAGATTTTAGTACTAACAGTAATGTCATATTTTAATATGACATTCCAGAGAATTGTGGAAAGTGGATTTTTATCACACATACACACATGCGTAAATATACATATATGCATCAGGTATGCCTGAAAATGTATATTGGCAAGCCAATGACCTTTCTTCGAATTTGTTTTTTTTAAATAAGAATGTTTGTTTGTGAAAATTAAAACAACAAACTATATAAATGGTCTCCAGAAATATGTATTCATTTATTTTAAAGATAGATTTTATTTTTAAACTAGGTCACGTCCTTACTCTTTCTGCCCCCAAAATAAATCCCAGTTGGGTCAAAGATCTAAATTTTATAATCTTTTCTGTATACATATGCTAAAGTATTAGAGGAAAACAAGTGTGAATGCTTTGATGATCTTGGAATGAAACCAAATGGCCTAACCGGAAGCCAAAAGGAAGAGATGGATAATGTGCTCACACAAAGAAAAATGGCAACTAGGAAAATACATTTGCAGCATATGATGGACAAAGGAATAATTTATTGTGTTAATGGCTCTTGAAAAGCAATAGCAGGAAGACAAGCTGAGCAAAGCGTATGAAAAGATAGCTTCCCCAAAACAAACACAGCCAAAACCACCATCCCCCACCTCATATTAAAGGAACACAAATTGGAGTAAAGAGGGGACCTTGGAACATCAGTCCCTCTCGTCACAGGATGTTTAATCATGCAGCAAACGCCGAACCGCTTCTGGGTCCTGGGGATTCAGCACTGACCAGGTCCCGCCCGGAAGGCCCTCCAGAGGCGGAGGAAGAGAGTAAACCAGGACACAGAGTTTGGGGGAGTGAAATGCAACGAAGGAAGAGCAGAGTGAGGGGGTAGTGATGGAGGAGCCACCCTTTGGGGAGGTGACATTCTATCTAGAGGCTAACTTGAATGAAGAACAGTCACGGGAGCCAGCCTCATAGCCACCCCGGGCAAGATCCTTCCAGGCAGCGGGAGCTCGCCAAGGCCCTGAGGCAGGAGTGTGCGTGATGGGTTAAGGAGTAGCAAGTTCTCGGAGTACTGTGGCAGAAGGGAGAGTGGGCAGATGGAGGGAAGCTGCCTGCAAGGCCGTGGGAAGCGTTGGCTTTCACCCCAGCTGTGCCACAGGATGGCACTGGAAATTTTGAGCCATAGAATGATGTGGTCCAACCTTTGTTGCTGAAGGATCTCTTGCTCTGTGGTGAACAGACTCCGGGAGAAACAGGCAGAAATATGGAGGACACTCGAGAGATGACTGTGCTCGTTCCGGCAAGCCATGGCGGTTTGCAGTGGGGGTGGTTGGGAGTGACGTGGCCGCAGACACAGTTTAAGTGTGGGGTAAGGATTTGGTGAAGGGCTCCTAGTGGGGGTGAGAAATTGATAAAATGCCCCCAAAGTTAAGGTACCATTTATCCAGATGGGGCTGTTTTAATTGTCTCCTATTCGCCCTGCTTGTGAAGGAAGTTCTCCCAACCTGCGGTATGGGAATGGCCAGACCCATGGCTCCTGACACAAAACTGGTGAGACAAACAGAATTCATTAATGACCCGTGCTCATCACCCAGGCGAGCACGTACCCCCACAGTCATGCGGGGTCTACGCGGGAGCAGTGAGCAGTCGGGACGGCGGGAGGCCAGCTTTCTAGTATGGGAGGGTGGGGTGACGCCGTTTGCGGCAGGAGAGTGTGACTGGCTTATTCCCGCGCTTCCAGGGCAGACCCTGAACTGAAACCCGTTACTCAGGTAGGCGGGAACCACCTCTTGTTGGCTCCGCTTGGTGGGGAGTGTTTGATTTGGGGACCTTATCAGGGTGCAGAGTACAGAGGGGAACTGGCCACTAGGCCACTCCGGGTCCCTTCAGATCCAGTGGATGTTAAAGGCCTTCATTTCTGACATCACCTGGAAACTTGGTAGAAATGCAGAACCTCAGGCCCTAGCGCTGACCTACCAAGGCCGAAACTCCTGGCGGGACCCAGAATCTGCTCTGACAAACCAAGTGATTCTGACGCTACCGTGTGCAATCCACTGACGTGTGTCAATAAAGCTTCAAAAATAAGCGACGTGGAATGTGAGGTGAGGCATGTAGAGGAGCCCCTCTGAAATGAGAGGTGTTTCTTTTTCCAAGGAGGATTCTGGAAGTAACGTTGTTCCAGACTTGGTTCAGGGGCTCCCCCGTGTCCCCTGCGGCCCAGGTGCTGTCCACACTCTGCCACTGTCAGCATGTGACTCTGCTCTTGCGTCTGCTCCCTGTGGTCACAGTGTGGGAGCCTCAGCTCCACGCAAGCCAATCAGGATAGGAAGGGGCTGGGGGCCAAAGACTCGAGTCTCTGGTGAGAAAAGCTTCTCTACGAGACACTCACGGGCCAGAGCTGTACCATCTGCCCTAACTGGCAAAAGAGAACCGATCTTGGGCCTCCCCGGTTGGCGCAGTGGTTGAGCGCTGGGTTGCGAAGCTGCCCGCAGCCTCTGCAGCGCCGGTTCGATCCCTGGCTGCTCCCCGGCCACCGGAGGAGGGTCCCACATGGCGCGCAGACCTCTCCTGCCGCCCGCTGCTCCCCTCAGCAGTGTCCTTCGGTCCTTCTGCCTGCTCTGCTCCCCGCTCTGGCTCTGGTGAATTCTCTCATCCTCCCGCGCTTCTGACTGTACCCAGTGCTTGTATAAATAAATAAAAATAAATCTTAAAAAAAAAAAAGAACCGATTGTTTAGATTGTCCTGATGCAGCCCCTCTCCCCCGGGATCAGGCTCTTTGTGTAATACTTGAGCGAAGTCAGGGGCCTGGTGACAGGTTGCACAGGGAATGAACAGTGTCAGTATATTGGTCTTGGGTCTCGAGGTCAAAGTCATATCATCTAACGGGTGAAAATATGATGCTGTTAAAGATAAAACAATCCCTAAATTCTGCTCATCGTCTACCACCATTTGGGAAATTTATTTCCATCAGGATGTGTCCGCGTTGTGTGGAATGCCCTGCTAGTCAGCGCTTCCGCGGGGTCTGTCGCGGGCCGGGCACTGTCTTATGTACGCGTCACTATACAAGATCATATGCTGTAGGTTACCATCGGCACATGAAGCTTAGTACCACACGCTACGTAGTAACAACTGAGTTAAACTGACAAATGAATTATTGACTTATCCTCGCTCTATCTCCATGCTGTGGGCAGAGCGAGCCCCATTTTACAGCTGGACAGCCTGAGGCCCAAAGGGGTTGAGTCACTGGCCCACAGTCACAGAAGTCAGGGATAAACCGAGCATTAGCCTGTCCCTCCCGACAGACACTCAACTGTCTTTACCCTGGAGGAGCTGGCGATGCAGCAGGATCAAAATTCACCCCCACACTGGGCTTAAAACAACTCATCACCTCTGCTTCTCAGCCACCCTCCTGCAGGGTGGGGAGGGTGGAGGGCAGTGAAGAGGGAAAGAGGCACCTTGAAGTTCAGGTCCCTGTTTGGGCTGTGCTTCCTTTCGGTTCCTCCCCAGATGGCCTCCAGGGGGAGAGCCCCCCTCTGCCAAGTCCTCTGGGTCCAGCCCTGGGGTGGCCATCCTGCCCTTCTGCTCCCGCCTTCCTCGGACCTCCACGAGAAAGGCCCAGCCGACCCCACCCACGGTCCTGTCTGCTCCCAACCAAGGTGCTTGGAGATCCCTTCCCCGGGGGGCCTGAGCAGGCAGGCCCCCAGTTGGTGGTCTCCGGCCCTGCCTCTCCCCGAATCTTGGCTCGGCTCTTTCTACACTGAAAGGCTCACAGTCATGACACCCAGCACAAGGAGGTTAAGCGTCACACTGGGCACAAAGGGCGCTCAGAGGGCGCAGAAGAGGAAGAGATTAGCACCCTGGATGGCAGGCCCAGGCGCTCGTTCCCAGGGGCCGTCCCTGCTGCCCAGCTGCCCCACCAGGAGCAGGATCCCATCTTAATCTCCTTTCAGGGGAAGTAATAAATTATTTTGCCACTGAAATGCTGGGGGTGGAATCTCTGTTACCAACACATCTTATTTTTTCAATGAAATCCCTTCCCACTACAATGAAATGCGTTTCCCCAGCGATGGCCACCGACGGGAAACACAAGCCAGAGATTTCACGTGGCCTCAGATCCAGTGACTGTTGTCAAGTGCGAAATCAGATACCCTGGGGGGGAGCAGACACAGCGGATACTTCTGGGAAAACGAGTGTTGAGGCTGTTCTACGCCTGAGCTGCTAGCCACGCAGACATCGCACCGGCACGGACGCTGAGAGCTCCTGCTTCCAGTTACATTCGTATCAAATTTGGATCATCAAAACATGAAGACACAGCTGCAGAACGTTTCGTAAGCGCCTCTCTTGAGCATTTTATATGTTTTCTCATTTAATATAGCTAGATAAACCTATGTGTCTGTGACTGTATTAAAATTTCGGTTGCTGTCAGCTAAAAACTTCAGTTTTAAATAAAAATTTTTTGTAATCAGTAAATGTACAGTGAGAGTCTTGCCCCATGAGAATATAGTACATTGGCCCAATATTTCACTAATCCACAAGGAGATCTCATGTATTTTGAATATAGCCGTGTTAGGTTTCAGAGGTTTTTCTAATCCTTAAAAAAAAAAAAAAAATAATGCCGTTTTCTTTACAGTTTGAGGCCTGGGCTAGACCAGAAGCAAAGGGTGGATCTTCCACCTGCCATTTTGGATGCTTCTTGCAGGAGCTCAGGCATCGGACGGGGAAGCAGCTTCTCCAGACCCTGCAGGCCCAGCCATTGCCTCTCAGAACCTTCAAAACCCCTGGGAGGGAGACCCCGGGACCCGAGCAGCAGGGGGCTGGAGTCACTTGTACTTCCGTGTTTTCACGCCAGCATTTTTTCCCCCTCCGTGGGCACAAAGCCACCAAGGGAAAAAAAGAGGCTTTAATTGAACCTGTATTTACATGGAGAGATAGTTCTCAGAGGAGCTAAAGAGTGTTATTTGTGAGTCTTAAGGAAAACCTTGAATAGAATTTCTCAGGTGTGGCCTCTGTAAAAGTCCCGCGAATGATTACATACTGCAGATTGTTACAAGGGCATGTTTTTATCTTGAGTGGGTGGCCAGTGACTTTTTCTTAATCTGAAAGGCCTCTGTGCTCTTGAACGCTGAGTGAATTCACACAGTATTAAGTCTCTCTCAGACGCTTCGAGAAGCTCTCAGGGTTTGTTCTCTTGTTCTGTGCCCTTGTGAAGTATTTAAAGCAGAAAGTGATTTCGGTGCCAGGCTTACCTGATCACACACTAGGACTCGGAAGAGCTTACAAAGAGTTGCTTTTATTGACTTTATAAATTAAGAACCTGGTATTTCTGCTCTCTTGGCCATTTGCCCTTCTGAAACAATTATTTCCTTCTGGAACAATTAGTACAGGTTTTATGGATATTTGCATTGAACTGGGTGACTCACAGCTACTCCCAAAGGAATTTTTAAGGTAGAATACCACTTAAATGTAATTACTTCTGTCACCATTGTTGTCTACATTCATTCAAATTAAGTGATGAAGTTAAACATTACCTCAAATGCAAAAGGTGGTCTGTGAACTTAGAAACACTAGAAGTTAAAAGTAGGAAAAATATCTTCTTGACTGTGCAAGAGGTAAGGAACTAGTTTATAACATGTTGACTTATTTTCACCTTTTTCTCCTTAGAAATTCACACCAGAATAAAAGTCTCCCTAGAAGTCTCCGCTCATGAGGCTCCTGTTTCCTAAGTGTCAGCTGCTTGGGCCTCCGCTCCCGCTCCCAGCTGACCGCTGTCCCCTGTCCCAAACACAGCCTGTGACCGGCAGCCGCGCTGCCCCTCCCTCTCCAGCCACCGTCCCTCCGACCGCAGCCCAGGGACCTGCATCCAGGCGCCCAGGGGCGCCTCCTCACTGCAGGTCCCCTGGGTGCGGAGCCTCAGAGTCCGCATTCTCTCACCTGGCACCCTGAGTCCCTCACGCACTCCCCCACCTGCTTCCCCTCCAGCCTGCGGTCCCTCATCTTCCTCCCGAGTCCCTCCTCTGGCCAGGGATGGCTCCGTTCCCGCAATTCCTCCAAGCTGACAGCACATCCTTTCCTGAGGTGACACCGTTAAAACACTGCCCCTGTTTGGGGTGTCCAGTTTCTCACCTCTAGTGCCTCTGTCTCGCCACGCCCACCACCAAACGCCCAGTCACCACCCACCACCCAGGTGTTCCCACCCCCGCCTTCCCCTCAAGAGCCATTGTTGACAGAGTTCAAGGGTTTGGTTTTGCTTTCTTTAACATTCCATCAATGAGTAAAATCATACGGTGCTTGTCGTCCTCCTTTTGACTTATTTCACTGAGCGTGATTCCTTCGAGGCCCGTCCTTGCTGGTGCAGATGGCGAAATTTCATCTTTTTGTGACTGAGTAGTGTCCCCTGTGTGGATCTAGGTTTCGGCCTCTTAATCCGCTCCTCCGTCGTCAGGCACCTGAGCTGTTCCCACTGTGAAGGGCCACACATCCTATTTGGGCATCTCTTGCGGGGCCCGGTGCCTGAGTTCTGTCTCCCTAACTAGGTGGTGGGCCTGGAGACGGGGACCATTCCTCCGGCTCCATAGAGAGAGGGCCCCATATTCAGTCAATGCTCAATAAATATCTTTTTTTAAAAGATTTATTTATTTATACAAGAACTGGGGTACAGGCCAGAGGTGTGGGAGGGTGAGAGGACTCACCAGAGACAGAGAGGTCTGCCGCGCCATGTGGGAATCTCTCTGGCCAGCTGGGAATCGAACCCGTGCTGCAGAGGCTGTGGACAGCTTCATAGCGCTGCGCTCAACCCGCTGCGCTGCCAGGAGACACCCTCAGTAAATATCTTTGAGGAAAGTAATGATGATAAAAATGGAAATTTACAAAAAGCTTTCTACTTTCTTATCGGTGGCTGCAGGGCAGTGCTCGCTATTTAATGAATGAACTCAGCCGTCTGCTTTCAAAATGTGGGTTTTGATTCAAAGTGAAATTCTGTTAAGACTGAAGGGGAGACAATGGTGAGGTTTTTCGCCCCGGCATACCTGTGACCTTATAGGTATCTGCGCACCCCTTAGGAGGTGCCAGAGACCGAGACCTTCTGAGCACTTTGAGCGCACGTATGGCCTCTGTTAATCCCGTGATGGGGTCCTGTAATATTTCACCAACAGGGGGGTCTCCCTGGGGCGCAAAGGGTTAAGTCTCAGCACTATGAAGCTATCCACGGCCACTGCAGCACGAGTTCCATCCCTGGCCAGGGAGTTACCCACATGGCGCAGCAGACCTCTCCTGACTTGTCCGCTGCTCCCCTCGCAGTGTTTTCAGTCAATCTGCCGGTTCTGCTCCCCACTCTGTCTCTGGTGAATCCCCCCGCCCCCGCACCTCTGGCCGGTACCCCAGGTCTTGTAAGCATAAATAAATAAATCTTTTTTTTAAAAAAATTTCACAAACAGGACATGGAGAAGCTCTGACCCAGGCAGTCTGGCCCGGGACCTGCCAGCCTCACCGGCCCCCAGGGTGGCCTCTCAAAGACCTCACCCCCTGGGACGTCAGTTCAGAGCCTAAGGACCCCTATGCTGCTCGAAGTCTAAATCATCAGTGCTTACAGGGGCGCTGCCCCCACATGCCTCCCCCGACCTGCCTGGCCTCCCTGTTCCCGCCTCTGGTCCCAGCACCGTCACCTTCAGGCCCAGGCCAGAAATCAGCAGCCCCTCCCTGCCTGTCACTCAGCCTGGACTCGCCCCAAGCCCTGCCTGTGCAATCTGCGTCCACCTGGCCTGGTGGCCCCGTCCCAGGGTGGCAGTGCCTCTCCCCTGGCCAAGCACTTGTCACTCCTCTGCCAGTTTTTTTCCCAAAAATAGACCAAATAACACCGGGAGCACAGCACTCGTGGGTGTCTCCCCCAGCTCTCTGTCCCCGCCCCTCCATCCTCCGGGGACTCCTGGACAGCGGTCCCTGGACGGCTCTCACCGCAGGGCTTAGTGCAGCTGCTCCGGGCCGCCTGGGCCGCCCTCTGGCAGGACCTTTATTCTCCCTTTACGGCCCTCCTCCGACGCCTTCTCCTCTGCCTCCCCTCCGGCTCCCAGGGGTGTCATCACTCCCAGAAGGCACACCTCCCTGGGGGAACTTACAACATTTCTGCCAGGGTGCCCGCGCGTCCCGACCCAGCAGCCTGAGAGCCGGCTGATCCCCTGGGTCTTTATACACCCCAGGGCTGGCCAGGCGGTTGGGAAACCAGAGCCCCGATGTGAAACGCAGCCTTTACAGAGAAGAAATAGCACGGGCGGCGGGCCAAGGAGGCGGATGGGGGCGTTACGCATCTCGTTTGTCACAGGGAGGCTTGCACAGTGCATTTCCACTCACGCCCCCAAGCTCCCCCTCCCCCAGCTCAGGAGCCACGCTCATCTTCAGGAGACGACCTGTCTCTGCTCTGCTTTGCTGGGGATGGAGCGAGCATGCCAGCACCTGGAGCTCCACCTGGGCCTCCACTTGTGTTCCAAGGCCCCTGAGCCCCTGCTTCAGCCTTGGTGTCCCCTGAGCTGACCCCCACGATGGTCCCAGGGCAGCCCCTTGGCACTCTGCAGTGCTTGGAGGAGCTTTTCTTAATCGGATGAAGAAGCCTAAGGTGCGGCTGAGCAGCCTCCTAAGGGCTCCTGGTCGCTCAGACTGGGCTTCCGGGCCTGGTGGCTGACCTTCAGCTCCAGGGCCTGCCTCCGTGCTTCACTCTCTGGAAGCTTCTTGCAGAAACCTCGTCAAGGTTCCCTCCCACCTTTTCTAGTTATCAGCAACAGGAGTAATGCAAACTTGCAGATCTTGGAATCGACTGTCCCATGCTTTAAAAAAGATGCAAAAGTGAGCCCAGAAGTACTTCAGGTAGAGAAAACTCTCGGTGGGGGGAAGAATCTAGAAAAACCAAGTGGATGACCTGTCACCTTTGGATGTGAGGGAATCTTCTTTGCTGCTTTCCTCCCTGGAAAGAGACACTAATGTCTGTCTTGACGCGTTACCACTCGTAATCTGTTCTTCCAAGAGCGAAGTATGCAGATGTCCCCGAGCCACTCCTCCGGGTCTGCCTCTGCCGGGACATTTTCCTCAGGTGACAGCTCAGTGCCTCCGGCTCAGCCTTAGTCACAGCAGGTTTGCAGGAGCTGGAGCCCAGGGATCCTCAGCCCAGGGCTTGCTGGCAGCTGTGTCCCAACTGTCAGACCTTGGCTGAAGTGGGCATCTCCAGTGAGGCCACGAGAAAAGAATGTGAGAGGTTGGGCTCTGGTCACCAGCAGGAGGTGACACAACCTGGCGTGTCCAGCCCCCACTTGGAGGCAGGGGAGGGCATGAGCCAAGCCCAAGGGATCTGAGAAGACTGGCCCGGGGTAGGTGGTCAGCCTGGCGGGCTCGGCGGAACGCGCTCACATCCACGCCGCCGAGGACTCTCAGAGAAGACGCCACGGGGACCCCAACAGAGTGGCCTGTGGCTAAGTCTGTGTCTCAGCTGGTGTTGATCAGATGCCACCCTCCCCCAGGCAGACAGGTCACCACGAAACCCCAGCCACAACCAGGTCACAGAGAAGGGTCCAGGCTGCTCGGTCAGGGGCCACAGGCTAAACCCCACACCCGACAGGCTCAGCTCCTGCACGTGCCACCTGGAGGGAGAGGGGCTGGGAAGCAGGAAGGTGGGCTAAGTCCTGAAGTTGCTGCAGGCGTGGAGCATGGCATCCGGTCTCTTCGGGCCTGTCCCCATCCGACCACGCACCGTCCCCGTCTGCTCTGTGCTTGCCTGAAGGGCCCACCCTGCGTGATTCAGTGAACCCCGAATTCTGCCAAAAGGGGCTTAATATCAGTGTCGTCCTGGATATCAGCCAGTGTTGGCTCTGTCCTGCGCTTTTCCCTATGCTGGGCGATCAGGGCTTTTTAAAAAATTAAAATAAATGAATAAATAAATAAGAGATATAGTGTCTGACCCTTAAGTAGTTTATGCTACGGGGGGGGGGGGGCATTCAGAGTTACTGAGTTCCTATCATGTGCCTGTTTGAGACACTAGCCACATAACAAAACGCACCCACCCACCCTTTGCCCCAGGAATTATCGCCCTTTGGGCCCCACTGGAGGAAACTGAGGCTCAGAGGTCAGGCAACTTCCCAGGCCACAGCGGGAGGCAGGCGCGGAGATGCCACGCCCTCCAGTCCACACCCTGTTGCTCCAGAGTGGAAGACTCGCATCTCCCTGCACCGAGGCCTGGCCATGATCTGGCGAGGCCTGGAGATGTCCCTTCCCACAGGCTGTTTCGTCAAGGCGGGGCCTCTCCGGCCCCAGGTGTGATGAGGTCACCTGGCGAGCAGGTGCCCTCGCAGGAGCTGGCCCGGCCCTGCCTGCCTGGCCTCTCGGGAAGGGGGGCAGCCCTGGGCGCCTCTGTGAGGGCCAGCGCGAGGGTTCTGTTGACTCCGCAGACCTGTGTTGTTCCCCGCATTTCACTGACGACCGCAGCGAAATCGAGGCCGAAGGTGAAAGCAGGAGACAGACCTGGGACTTGCGCCCCGACTGCTTGACTGACGTCAGCCGCTCCAAGTCCTGCCCGGGGACGGGGAGCGTGGTTTAATGAAGGGGAGCTGAGGTGCTGGGGGTCACTTGCAGGGGGTGGGACGGGGGGCCGGAGGAGATGACTTTGGCATTGAAAGAAGTGTGCGTGGGGGGGTGAGGTGGAAGGAGACCCACGTCACGCCCCAGGTCTGAAATGACAGGACGCACTTGGGGACACTGGGGCGGGGTCAAGGGGCTTGGGGGGCTTTCAGCGTGGATCTCTGTTTGGAGATAGATGTTGGGCACAGACGGAGAAGGACCTCAAGCACCAGGCGTAAGGAGCCGGAACTTCGGTCTGTGAGTGCGGGTCTCTGCAGCCAGAACTACTCTGGGGCCTTTCCTAGAGTTTGGGACCCTTGGGGCAGGAGGGGACCAGGTGACCTGGCCCGTCTCTTCCTTTCACTGAGGCCTGGAGAGAAAGGACTCCGCTGACATGACCCAGTGGCTCAGGAGAACCCGGCGAGACCCCAGGTCCTATGGCTCAGGCTGGCCCCCAGCGCCCACGTCGTGACGGCCACACGCCTGCTAGAACCACCTGGCCTCAGGGGGCCCAGAAGTCATTTCTTCGGCTGAAGCCCAGGACTTGGGATCAAATGTCCGCCTCCCCTCAAAAACCACTACTCCCTCCTCAGGCCTGCAAAGGCTATTTATTGCCAAGCAAATAAAAAGAGGCCCCGCCTTATTTATAATTATGAAAAATGCCAATTGACGGCAGCGAGCCACTGCTTCTCACGTAACCCACCAGCAGAGCGAAGTTCGCTCGCGCCGTCCAGCGGGGCCTCGGCGAGGGCCGGCGCCCTGTCAGGAGGAGCCGGAGCAGGCAGCCTTGCGGAAGACAGCTTGCCCCGGCCCCTGAGCGCTGCCGCCATTGAAGTGCCTTTTCCACAGCAGCTCTGCTTCTGGGGATTTGTCCCCTGGCTGCGCTCGGTCAAGTGTGCAAAGCGTGTCGTTAGCTGTTTGTTAGCTGTTTCTTCCAGCACGTTTGAGATTGTGAACAACCAGGGCAGAAGCTCCTCCTGGCTCCCCCGGAGTGTCCCGCTGAGCCAACGTCCACCAACACCTACGGGCAGGCCTTGCCTTCCCGCACCGTGGGGGCAGGTGCCCACGTGGCAAAGTCCACACAGAAGAAGCGGAGGATGAGGGGCTGCTGCGCAGATTCCACGTGTGAGCAAACAACACATGCGTGTGCTCGCAGACACACAGGACGTGTCTGGAGGGACACAAGAGCCACTCACAGGGGTCATCTCTGCTCTCAACCATCCATAATTACATTTTTCTTTCTTTCCTTTTTTTTTGCTTCTTTTTGAAAGTATGAACATGTGTTATTTTTATAATTAAAAAAATTTAAAAATTGGGCCTCCCCGGTGGCACAGCGGTTGAAGCGCTGGGTTGCGAAGCTGCCCGCAGCCTCTGCAGCGCCGGTTCGATCCCCAGCTGCTCCCCGGCCACCGGAGGAGGGTCCCACATGGCGCGCAGACCTCTCCTGCCGCCCGCTGCTCCCCTCAGCAGTGTCCTTCGGTCCTTCTGCCTGCTCTGCTCCCCGCTCTGGCTCTGGTGAATTCTCTCACCCTCCCGTGCTTCTGACTGTACCCAGTGCTTGTATGTATGTATGTATGTATAAATAAATAAATAAATAAATCTTTGAAAAAAATCAAAAAATTAAAAACCAAAAAGACACGGCCAATGGCTCATAGACACAGATTTTAGCTTCCACTTTGGAGCGCGCCTGGGGACAAGCTAAGCCGTCCGATACTCAGATTCACAGACGAGGCCCGTGTTTTCCATTGCTCCACCTCAGCTGCCACACCCTCAGACCCTCACTCTCCTGTCGTGCTTGTAGGGGTGGGCGTTGGCTCATTTGTCCCACATTTGCTCTGTGCTCACCTCCATCAGGCCCTGGGTGTGAAGCTGTCCGTCTTCAATTAACTCATTTAAAAATGTGATTTGTGAAATAGGGAGCTAGAGAAGGGAACGGGGTCCAGGGTGTACCAGGGTCGGGGGCACAGAAGGGCCTGTGGCTGCGACTTGGGTCCCCAGGCCTGGTGAACAGGAGTAGCAGGATGGGGCTCAGCCCCACACACACACGCCACTCTCGCCCCAGTGATCCCCCTGCCCTCCTCCGCTGAAGCCCCATCTCAGCCTCTCTGGGGTGAGGCCCAGGGTCCAGCCCTGCCTTGCAGACTCTTCCCACCTGGCGCTTCCAGTGCCATCTCTACGCTGCAGGCCCCAGGCCGGGTGGCCGGGCTCCTCCCCTGGGCTCCAGGCTCACAGCCGGACACTCTGCCAGGACGCATTGTAAACTAGGCCCCAAACAGGCTCCGGGCCCACCTCCCCTCCATGCACCGGCGTCTCCCCAGCTCCGCCAGGCCAGGCGCCCCTGCCAGGGTCACTGGACAGCTCGGCGCAGCTCTGCTGGTTCTGGCTTCAGAAGAATCCAGCATCCACCGCTCCCGCCGGCCATCCTGCCCCCCGGCCCAGCTCCCGTGTCTCCGGCCAGTCGCCCCGCGCCCCCCCCCCCCAGGCCCGGCAGGTACTGCACAGCGCGTGGCCCGTCGCTGCCCGACGCCACCGCCTGGGCCTGGCCCCCCAGCCCCTCGGGCCCGGAGCCTCCCCCCCCCATGCTCCAGCCCCCCCCCCCCGCCTTTATTTTTCCCCGGGGACTTGCTACTTTCTCTCCAACCGGTGAATTCACTGCTTTATGATACTGGGGGCCCCTGACCCCCCAGCCCGCAGGCTGGAGGAGGGCGGAGGACCCTGCCCGTCTGTTCACAGCCTGCGCCCGGGGTGCGGAGCGGGCGGTTCCCGAGCCCTTCCCGCATGAAGAGCAACCCCGAGAGGGTCAGAGAGGATGGGGGGGTGAGAACGGTGGCGGCGGCGGGGGGGGGGGCCTGGGGTGACACTGCCCCAGAGTAGCGGGGTGGGGGGGCGGGGGGTGCAGGGAGGGGGCAGCCGCCGGCGCCCAGATGTGGGCGTCCGAGAGGACAGCGGGGAAGGCGGTCAGAAGTGGGGGACGGGTGGGGGGGCAGGGAGGGGGCGGGCGGGCACTTGGGGCGCAGGCGGCGCCGAGAGCGGGTGCCCAGCGCGGGGCGGGGGGGGGCGCGGGCCGGGACTCCTCTGCCGCGTCCCGCGCGAGCGCTGCGCCCGCGGGGGGCCAGGCGGGAGCGGACGGCGGGTAAAGGCAGGATTTGGGGGGCCTCGGGGAAGAGGACCCCGGGGCCCGAGGGGGGCGCGCCAGGGCCGGGCGCGGCGCGGGGCGGGGCGGGGCGGGGAGGGGTGGGGGAGGGACCCGCGGCCGGCGATCGCGGGGCGCCCTTCCGGGGGCGCGGGGCCGGGGGCGCAGCGAGGACCGCGGTCGGAGGCCGCGGGGCCGAGCGCGCCGCCCGGACGCGGCCACGCGGAGCGCGCCCCCCGCCCCCGCCCGGCCCGCCCGGCCCGCCCGGCCCGCCCGGCCCAATCCCGGGGCGCCCCGGCCCCGCGCCCGCCGCCCCGCCCCGCCCCGCCGGCCGCGCAGCCAACGGGCGGCCGAGCCCGGCCCGAGCGCGCAGCCCGCGCCGCGCCGGCCCAGAGCGAGCAGCGCCGACCCGACCCGCCGGGCCGCTCCGGACCCGCCGCGCCTCCGCCCCCCGGCGGGTGTCCCGACCCGAAAGTCCAGTTCGGCGGCCCGGCCGCGGCGACGGCGCGATGACACAGGAGTACGACAAGTGAGTGCGCGCCGGGGCGCTGCCCGCGCCCCGCCCCCCGCGCCCCGAGCCCCTGAGCCCCGCGCCCCCCGCCCCTGAGCCCCGCGCACCCCGCGCCCCTGAGCCCCTGTCGGCCGCGCGCCCCGCGCCCCCCTCGCCCCGCGCGCCCCGCGCCCCCTCGCCCCGCGCGCCCCTGCCTCCCCTGCCCGCGCCCCGCGCCCGCCGCGAGCCGGGCCGGGCCGATACCGGGGCGCTCGGGTGGGGGGGGGGCGCGGCCGGCTCCCGCTTTTCCCCCGCCGAGGCGCTGCCCCTCCGCCGCCCGCGCCCCGTCGCAGCCCCGGGAGCCGGGACGTGGCCCCGAGGGAGTCTCCCCGCGCCCCCCTCCCGGCCGCGGGCGCTCCCCGGGGCGCGCAGGGAGGCGGGGGCGGGGGCGCCCCGCGCGGCGGCCCCTGCGCTGGTGGCGCTCCTGGGGCGCTCGGCGCCCGCCACAGGGGCCCTCCAGGAGAGGACCCCGCGCCGCGGGCGCCGGCGGGGAAATCGGGGGAAAGTCGAGGCGCGGGCGCGGGCGCCCCCCAGCCGGCGCGGGGGGGAGGGCGGCCGTGGGGAGCGGCGCCCCTGAACATGCTCGGGAGGCGCCGGGAGCGGAGCCGGGTCCGCGCGGGGGGCGCGCACGCCCGGGGCCGAGGCTGGCCGGGCCTCTGCTGTCTGCGCTCTGGCTGTCCGGCGGCTGCGGAAGGTTCCGAGGAAAAGTTCTTTAGAGAAAACAAGTCGCTCCGACCCGGGCGCTGTTTCAGGTCGGTCAGCCCAGCGGGGGCGGCCCGGCAGGTGGACGGCCCGGCCCGGGCGCCCGGTGTGCGGTCGGGGGAGGCGCCCCTGGAACAGGCCGCCCCGTGTGTGGCTGAGAAACGCATCCCTGGGGAGGAATTTGGGGCTCGGGGGAGCCAGGGATGGGCTTTCTGGGCCGAGCACCCACCTGGCTGTCACGGGAGGAAGCGGCTGAGACGCAGCTGGCCTTAAAATTTAGATAAGGCGCATTTCCAAAGCTAAAATTTTGGCCTTAGGCGCACTTTGGAAATGGAAGACACCTTCAGGGTGAGCGCAAACAAAGCCACTCGCAAGAAACATTTTATTCATTTTCTCTTGCTTGCACACATTGAGGGTGGGGGTGGGAGAAGCGAAGCTGAAAAACGAGCACTACGGGAATGGAGGGAGCCAAGCGCTGTCATAATCTTCTGGAAGTAGCTATTACCCTATTAATAACAGCCTAGCAGGGCCCCGCTGAATCACCCCAGGGATCGCTCGGTAGCTCTTCCTCTCCCCGAGAACGCCTCTCTGTATCTGCTCCGTGCTTTTTGTTGTTTTCTGCTTTTTTTTCATTTGGGATTTGTGTAACAGTCTTCATTTTCAAACATGCTGCCTGCTGGGAACGACCCACTATGTTTGTTTTGTGTTGCAATAGCTCCCACCTCAAAACTTCTCCTCCTACCGAATAGAAGCTCCTGGGAAGTGAAGCCCAAACATGCGTGAAGACGCGGGCTTTGAAATTAGACTTCAGGCTGAGGCTACCTTGAGCTGCTGATTCCCACCCTTACCCCTTGTAAAAGATGTGCGCCTTTTTCTGCATCTGCATCTGTTTTTAAAGGGCCCGGGTGCCTGCCAAGCCCTAACCTTTAGTGATTACTTGAGAAGATAATCTGTCTTTCTACATTCACTTTTAGAGTCTGTAGGTGACCTTTAGGCCATTTACACATTTCATTGCGTGTTGCAATGAGAACAGGTCCTTCAGTTTGCTTGTTAAAATTGCCATCATTCAGAGGAGCTCTGAACATTAGAAACATTTTTTTTTTGCCTTTTAAAAAATTGCTTCATTTTGCTGGAGTTAGTGTTTCACTGCTTCTCTTTTATTGACTTATTAAATAATACCAACTGAACAGTTGTTGAGGCTGTTGACATTTCAAGGTTTTGGAATCAGCAATGTTTGCTTTAATCTTTTAAAATAAATCTGTAAGACTTTGCTAAGATCTCCATTGAGTGTCTGGATTTTTCCCACCAAACTGCAGTGTTCAAATGAGACAGTTCTCGCCCAGTGGGGAGAAGCAGTAGAGATTTTTAAAAACTGATTATCCCACCTGTTTTCTTAAAAATCATTTTGTTCCGTGGCTGCATTTATTGTTGTAGATTCTTAAGTGTTTATCTCTAAGATAAACAGTTCACTCCCTGGGCAGAAATTGCGCCTGTCCTCCTGATTGATCGACAGTCCCCTTTGGCCGCATTCCATGCTCGATCTGCTGGTCATCGGGAGAATATGCTGACTTTCTCTCATACCCCCAGGATTAAAGGAGGTATCCTTTTTCTTTCTGCCCCTTCCTTCTTTCCTCCTGCTCGGAAATTCTTTAGGCCGTGACGTCCACTGGAGACGAGAGGACCCCCATGGAGCAGGGGGATGATGGAGGAGACACACTCTCTGAGAGTGTCCAGGCCCGATGGCCTGTGTCTAAAGAGAATCGGTGTCCTGGTTCACCTGACTCTGTCCCTGTGTCTGTTTATGGAAAGTGTGTGAATAGTCAGGCGCTTTCTTGGAGTTTTTTTTTTTTTTTCTTTTTCCAACTAGTGTATCTTGTGTCCCCGTGTGGGTTGCCTGCAGATTCCCTGGCTGCACAAACGCCTCTTGGCTCCAGGGCTTCCCGCTGGCCGGCATCTAAGTGGGTTGTCTTCTGCTCTGGTCTTAATTGACTTTACGAGGGTCTTTGATGAAGCGATGGACTCTTTTATGGGAACATCAAGGAACTGGCTATTTGGATCTTGAAAAAGTGTGTCTTTCCGTAGAAACACGTGCAAGTGTGGCATGCGTGCGTGCGCACCCCCACGCACACCCCCTGCCTCCCACCCACACACTCACGCGGTTTTCTTTTTTCAATTCCTCTGAAGCAAGCGGCCAGTGTTGGTTCTCCAGAATGAAGCGCTTTACCCGCAGCGGCGCTCCTACACGAGCGAGGACGAGGCCTGGAAGTCCTTCCTGGAAAACCCCCTCACGGCAGCCACCAAAGCGATGATGAGCATCAACGGTGACGAGGACAGCGCCGCCGCGCTGGGCCTGCTGTACGACTACTACAAGGTGGGCGCCTGCGTGCTGGGCACCCGAGCCCAAGACGCACTTGATTCACCAGCGTATAAAACAGTAATTTGTCGGTAGAATGTAAGGCAAGTTGCTTCTGTAGTGGCTATAAATAGTTTAATGAGTACTTTGATTTACTGTGGGTTCAAAGCTGGAAACGCACCGTCGCAGAATCAAAGGGCTGCTCTCCGGCGCATGGAGGGGCGCTGCCCGCGCCATCCGGAGGTGCAGCTGCGCACAGGGAGCTGCTGAGTGTCTGTCCAGGATGAAACACGTCACCAAGGTGGTTCTCGGTGCCTCGCTGCGAGCCCGCCTCTCTTCCTCTGTTGTCACGCTGGTTTCCTCTTCCCTGAAGGACATCACAGAGCCGTGGATTTGATTGGATTACCGGATCTATGAGAACAGTTTTTTCTAGTCTTGGTCTTTCTAGTTCCAGGAACAGGATATACCTTGTTGCCTGCTTCTAGGCCGTGCATCAGCCTCAGCTAAATATAACGTGGGTGCCCCTACCTGGGGCCAGGCACCGGGGCCTGCCCCAGCAGCATCCTGTGTCCTCTTAACCCTGACCGCCCCTACTGGTCACCTGCGCTTCATGCCCGGTGCCATTCCCGCCCATCACCCGGCAGAATATGTGCCGTTACCCCCTTCCTGGGATGAGAGAAGTGAAGTCCTCAGGTCACACGGCTGGGGTTCAGGCCGCCGGGCTGTGTTCAGCCCACCCTCGGCAGTGCGCCTTCTTCCTTCCAGCCCACGGCAGATGGGATATGGGTTTTGGACATCTTTTTTGGGGGAAACTTCCAAATCTACAGAAAACTTAAAAATGATGGGATCGCCAGCTCCCTATCCTCCTGAGTTCATCATCTGGGCGCCCTTTGTTCCGTGGCACGTTCCTGCATGAGGGATGCCGGGGGAGGCAGCGGTTGGTGTGTGCTGTTAGGGTGGGGCCCACGTCAGCCGGATTATCTTCTGGTGTTGGCCTTGAGGGACTGGGTTGGGAGTTTTTTTCTTTGAAAGTGACTACAAACTGGTGCAGGCGCCAGTGGTGCAGAAGCCTGGGGAGCAGGAGCTGGGAAGCTTCCCTTCCAACTGGGATTTCTTATCGACCTGTTCTTACGGTTACGGTGACTCAACGAATATAAAAGAAAACAAGCCCCCAGATATTACCAAGTTTGAAGATGCATATTTCTAAGTGAAATTTCTGAGGATGGGAGGAAAACCAGCAAGTTTAGTGCCAGAGAGATCGATGTAATGACGCGAGTGTGTTTTACATCAAGGCTCCTCAAAGTATCATCCTTCCTAGGAGGAGATTGGTCCTCGTGCCCATCCACCAAGGGTGGCAGTCTTGGTGGCACTTGTCAGGCTTCTTGAGGACAGGGTAGGGTTATTTTCTTTTTAAAATGAACTGACTGACTTGTTTTAGTCATCTGGATGTCAAGCCTTATAAGCGCGTGGTTAATACATGAAGCAGTCATTTATTTTATTTTTAAGGGTGGAACAAGAATGCAGTAATAGAATCCCCCCCGGCATCTCTCTTAGCAATTGTGGGATACATGTGGGGACTCTGTTCTCAGCTGGGTTAGTGTCCACACGTACCTACTAACTCTTGCCTGCTCCTCACCAGCGGAGTAAGATTTGACTTTGTGGACAGTGGGAATCCCCAAGTATCCAAAGAAATTTATCAAATGAAGCTGAAATTGGAGCTTGGAAGTGGATTGTTAACATGAGGGGTCCTGTTGACTTTGCATTTGATTGGAAAGGAAAGGTAGTGGAGAAAGACAGCGGGACAGTTGGAAGAACCAGTTGTGTTTCCAGTAGTCTTCTCTATTCCGTGATACGGCGAAACCGGCCAGAGGCATTTCTTGCAAGCAGTGAAACCCTAACTCAATGGCACAGTAAATTTGTGAGTTTATTTGGTAACTAAGTAACACTTGGTTTCTACATATCAACCTGGCAACTAGATTGTAAGCTCCTTGAGGGCAGACACCTTTCTGTTCATCATGTGGGGGTTGGTAGGCAGTCACTCATCTATGAATGGTGGAACTCAACTGAAAATAAGAAGCTGTATCTCGAGGTCACTGAGTAGGAACTAATTCTGGTCATGTGTTAATATCTAAGGTTCCGAGAGAGAGAAGGTCATCGATAGCAAAGCCAGATGTTGAGCACCCAGAGCCAGATCACAGCAAAAGGTAACGTTCCGTAGAGAACAAAACATAGTACACTGGAAAGATGCTGCATTTTTGTGAAAATAAAATGAGTGAAACAAATGGTAGTGGAAGAAATAGATAAGTGGGATTTTTAATACCTAGATTAAGATTTCATTACTGATCTCCCTCTTAATCATGATTCTGTTGCTCTGAAACGTTACAAGTTTCTCTGGGCTTAGTTGCCTTTTCTAGAAAACAAAAGCACTAACTTCCTCCTGCTAACATGTGGCTGTGATTTTGTAACACATAAGTGAAGTGTGTGCTTATTTGTCTCTGATGTCCTTTAAGAAGGAAGTGGCTAAACGCAGTGATGTGGGTCCATCAACCAAAAGAAAAATCAGGTTCCAAGGACTCTGGAATGAGTAAACCTGAGGTCCATTCAGCGGTCCTCCAGACTCTTGCTGGTTATTTTTGAAATATTTTAGGTTAAAACTTTTGGAAAATTAAATCAAGCCTTGACTTTTATAGCCATGGGGAAAAAGTGTAAACACACCTTTCAAACCCTGTTAGTAAAAAGGAATGAGACATTTTTAAAGAAAGGATGACCACTCAGAACCGGCCCCCCGGGCCCCCTCCCGGCTCGGGGCCTGTGCGCTGGGTGTGGTCGCAGCTGTGTTCACAGACAGGCCCTGTCCAGCGCTCACGTCTGCTTAGTGTGTTCGTAAGTATTTCCCATGTTGCTGTTTTAATCTTCATAATACTCTGGAACTGGTTCTGGTCATGTGTTACTATCTAAGGGCTTAAGCTTTTTTTTTTAACTTTTATTACGGGCATTTTCAAACATAGCATGAGAGAACCAGTGTGATCCCACACACCTAATTACCAGCTTCGGCAGTTATTGACATAATCCCTCCTGTTTGATCTGCTCTTTCTGTTTCTTTAAATTTTAAATTAATTTTCTATTTTATTTATTTTTGCTGGTGTTTTTAAAGCAAACCCTGACTGTTCTCCACACGACGGCTGTATCTACTCTCTCACGAGTGCAACTTCCTCCTTCTGTCTTTAGGATAAACTCCTGGGAGTGAGTTTATGACTCACAGTTTGAACATGTTATTGATCTGGACATGTCTAAAAACTGCCAGATCGCGTTTCTCCTTCAAGGGTGTCAGCTGTGTGTGTGATGTGAAGTGCTTTGAAGATTCACTCATCTTGCCTAGACTAGAAATCCTCTTCTGTTGCCCAGAATTAAACCAAGAGTAATTTCATGCACGCAGGTTGACTGGTACAGTGTCATCAGAGGGTTTCTTTTGGCGGAAGAGAAAACCAATTAAGCATAAGTTGTAGGAAACGCGATGGTTAGGTGGTGACAACTCGTCGTCCTCGCGTGCCAGGCCTGTCACTGTCTCTGCCGGTCTGGAGGGTGGATCCCCAGGATCCCCCCGTTTAGGGGTGAGCCGAAGTAGCTTGTTCACGGTCATACCAAATTTGAACCAGGGCCACCTGACTCTGGGGCCCGGACTTGAATCACGGCTCTGCGCTCCAACTCACCTCCCCGGTAGGCGCGGGCGCCTGGTCACACCCGGCGGTTCCATCAGATTGTCGGGAGCCACGCGTAGGGCTCCGGGAAAGGCCGGGCTCAGCGCTTCCGGTGCGGCTTGGCCCAGTACCCTTGGATTCGACTTGCTCTCTGAGAATAAAGTCTTTTTGTCTCTCTGCTAACGTGCCCTTGGCACGTTACTTAGCCGGCAAGTGTCTTGCTCCTCTGTCCTTGCACCTTGCAGCCCCGTGCCATTAGCTCAATGAAAGCTGCCCAAGGACGGTGTCAGCGGAGAGCTGGAGAGCCCAGTTTTGTTTTCTTTTCTTAAAGAAGCAGCATCCCCAGCGTGCCAGAGCAGCCCCTCATCTCTCCTGGAGAAAACCGCGTGCAAGTGCTGAAAAACGTGCCTTTTAACATTGTGCTTCCGCACGGCAACCAGCTGGGCATGGATAAGAGAGGCCACCTGACAGCTCCCGACACGACAGTCACTGTCTCCATCGCAACGATGCCTACCCACTCCATCAAGACAGAGACCGAGCCCCATGGCTTCACGGTGGGCGTCCCCCCGGCCGTGTATCACCCGGAGCCCGCCGAGCGGGTGGTGGTTTTCGACCGGAACCTTACTCCCGACCAGTTCAGCTCTGGCGCCCAGCCCCCAAACGCGCAGAGGCGGACTCCAGACTCTACCTTCTCAGAGACCTTCAAGGAAGGCGTGCAGGAGGTACAGGAAACGAAAGCATCTTCCTCAGCCGGCTGTGTGTTTGTCTAAGTATTGGGTTCCACCCCTTCCTTGTTATGTAAGCTTGAAACTCAGCCTGAAATGAATAGATTAGGAACAAAAGATTTTTTTTTTTTTAAGAGAAAAGGCCCATGGGTATAATTTGTAAACTAAACCTATAAAACCAGAAATTATTATCAGGGCACACGGCTAATCTTCCCAGCAGCTGAGTTAACAATGATGGTTTCAGCTCCGTGAGTTGCCGGAGAAGGCTGGTCCTCGCAGCCGCCCTTCGACGGCAGGTCTCGCCACAGAGTCTGTTTCTGGCTTTGGACTGAGCCAGACAAGCTCCCTGCAGCGGTCTGCAGAGAAAGCGATGGCTCGTTATTTGCCCGGTGCCCCTCGCTCGGGGCCGTTACCAGAGTCCGGGAGGGCTTGTCACACATGCACGTGTGAGGTGCACAAACCAGCTCCATAGCCTTTGGCGGGTCTCCCAGTGAGGAACACCTTGCTTGGGTAAAAGTTAGGGACCCGCGGTGTCTGGAACTGGATGTCATGACCCGTGGGGGCGAGAGCTTCCTCCCCGTTTACGGAGTTGGGAGCAGCATGGTTCCCCCCTCCTGAGAAAAGGCCCAGCCCACCCAGCCAGCAGGGGAACGTGATCGTGTGTCTTCACCCCGCCCCGCGCTGGGCTGCCCGGCTGGCGAGGCCCTGAGGTTCTGGTTGCAGAGTCCGGAGCCGGGGCGAGTGGCGTGCGTGGGACGGGCGGGAGGGGACAATGCGGCGCTGTGAGGGCGTCCCTGCGTAGATTGGCTCGGTTTCCCTGAGTGGGATGCAAAGTGGATATTTTTCTTTCTGTCCAATTTTCTTTAAAATTTTCCATAGCGTTGAAGTTTAAATGCGCGTGGGCAGAGCGGCGGGTCCCCGGGAGCCGCGGGCTCTGGCGCGGCGCGGCCTGGGTCTTCCCGGAGCCGACGGCCAGTCCCACAGCCGTGGCTTGTCACGTTGATGTTGCAGGTTTTCTTCCCCTCGGACCTCAGCCTGCGGATGCCTGGCGTGAATTCAGAGGACTATGTTTTTGACAGTGTTTCTGGGTAATGGTTGTCTTTTAATTTGATGTTTAACTTCCAGCTTTTATGACATTTCTTTCCTGATCCTTCGGTACTGAGAAATCAGAGGTGGCTTCCGCGGGCTCGCCCCTGCCCTGGTTATGGTGACTGCGCTGGCTCCCTGGCCGAGGACGCTCGCTTCGTGCACTTAATCTGGACCTCTCACCTGCGTCTCCCGTTCCCTTCATTCCTGGTGGTGGTGCTTGCTCTTTCCTTCGGTCTCTTTATGTGACGGTGGCGGAATGGAGCCTAAAAGAAGAAGATCGAATCCGAATTCCAAGGTCCCTTCTGTTCCCAAAAGGACAATGAGAATTTAGGAATAGTATCAGGTAGACGAGGACTTTTTAATCTATTTTAAAATTGTATTTGTTTGTATCTTTAAGGACTTTTTAAAAAAAATTTAGTCTCACTCATGATAAAATAAACAAAGTCAGCTTCTTTCTGACCTGACTACCTCTCCTGTTAAACCTCCACAGAATTGCCTCACTCTGGGGATGGGATTATCTTCCAGGGTAGTTGTGAACATATGAAAACACCTTCGGATGTTTTGAAAGAAAGTCTAAGGATTTCATTTTGTAATTTTGTTTCATGTACTTTTTTATGTGTGTTATATTTTTAAAAACAAAGCTATGCTATTGGGTTATTGGAAAAGTCACGACACGTGTTTTCTGTTTTTCCGACAACCCAATATTTCAAACAGTACTGTGCAGAACCCAGGGAGTAAATACCCGAGGCTCGATGGGCCACCAGCCCTGCCCCAGCTGCCCGGCCCTGCCAGTGGCCCACACCAGCCAGAGGAAACGCTTGACCGTGGGTGTGGCTGCGCTCAAGCAGACTATTCCCAAAAGTAGCATCATTTGCTGACGCCTGACTTAGAAGGTCATTCAGCAGCTCAGGGGGGATGTGAGCCTGGCACTGCAGGGTCACGGTAAGAATTGTGGGGCGTCCATCTGCAGACATTCCCACGACAAGCAAAAAGAGCACATACCCGGCAGACCAGGTGGAATTTGAGGCCCACCAGGCACGGTTTGCAGCCTCCACTGGGTAAACACCAGGTGGCCGGCGTGTCCCATGAGGTTCCTTCCAGAGTCCCCTGCGGCCATCAGCACCTTCCGTGCCCTCAGCCTGCTGCTTCCTGATTGCTCACATCTCATCAGAGTTTCTAGTGGCCATTTTGTAGCCCCACATCTGGGTGAACTGAGAATGTCTGGTGGCTTAAGATCAGGCTTACCCGGGAGAGTGGCAGGTGCGCGCCCCACGATGTGGGCAAAGGGCGCTCCTGGGGCGTCTGCTCCTTGCACACATCCACACTGGAGCCCTGCGAGCTGGAGCTGATGCGCACAGGAAACTTCCACGTGAGTGAACTGGACTTCTGTGGCTCTTCTTGTTCTCTAGAAACAACTTTGAGTATACTCTCGAAGCTTCCAAATCGCTTCGCCAGAAGCCAGGGGACAGCACTATGACGTACCTGAACAAAGGCCAGTTCTACCCGGTCACCCTAAAGGAAGTGAGCAGCACCGAGGGCATCCACCACCCCATCAGCAAAGTGCGGGTGAGTGAGTGGGCCTGCCGGGCAGGAGGCCTGAAGCAGGGCCACCCGGAGCTCTCAGCTTCCAGCTGGGCAGCCCTTGCTGTCAGGTCTAAAGCTTCCTAAGTTTTCCAGAAGATGCCCACCTGTTGTGTCTTTCTCTTGTGCCTTTGCAGAGCGTGATCATGGTGGTTTTTGCCGAGGACAAGAGCCGAGAAGATCAGCTGAGGCACTGGAAATACTGGCACTCGCGGCAGCACACGGCCAAACAAAGATGCATTGACATAGGTTGGTAGCTCCCGAGTGGCTCTTGTTCCCAGGGGTGCCAGCTTCCAGCTTTCTAAATCCAATTATTTTTGGCCGTGATCAGCTTCCTGCTGAAAGCATTTGCATTTCTGTGCCAGCGACTGATCTGTTCCAAACTCTGCCCCTGGCCTCGGGGAATCCACGCTCGGCTCTCCTGCGTCATGAGGTCAGGCCCACAGTGGCCGACTCTACCCCCTGAGCGGCCCGCAGAAGTGGCTGCTGCTCCAGTTGGCCCGTCTTTTCAGGGCTGGTGTCTTCCTTAGGAGGCCTGATAATTTGGAGATGATAATAAGATGAAGAAATAAAGCAAATCATCAGGAAGAGAGTGGCTGCGGGGTGGCTCCCTAGCCACCTTCCCTGCTCAGGGTGCTGAGACCTGAGACCTGTCTCAGACCCTTCCACCTGTTCAGGGCCCTGGGGACAGTGCCAGGCCTGTGCGAATCCCTGTGTGTGGAAGTAGCATCAGGAATGCCCCGTCCTCCCCGGGGGTCATCTCCTGCAAGGCCAAGCTGCAACCTTGTCCTCGCCTTTCCTCACATTCCATTCCCACCTCAGAAGAATCCAGAGACCTGAAGTTGGATCTTGATTCTCTGCACTGGTTTTGTGGCTTTCGGATGGTTCTTTAAGCTTTTTAGATCCAAATTTCCTAATTTTGACATAATGGCATCAATTAAATATCCCCAAGTTTCAAAATTCTGTGATTCCTTTTTTCATTGTTTTGGAACTCCCTCCAGCCCAGCATGGCGCGGCGTTCACGTAAATTTTCCAGAGGTGATAATATGAAAACAACTTTACTTTGAACCCGTCGCCTCGCGTGGGAACAAGAAGTCACACTCCTTTCTCGTTTCCCTCCCTCTCACAGCCGACTACAAGGAGAGCTTCAACACCATCAGTAACATCGAGGAGATTGCCTACAACGCCATTTCTTTCACTTGGGACATTAACGACGAAGCAAAGGTAGGTCGATGTCCCGCTGCCTACAGTCCCGGCCTCTGAGCAGTGGGAGGCGCCTGCGGATGTGACGACTCTTTACACTTTTCCTGTTGTGATTCCGTTGCTAAGTTCTAGAGAGGGTCGGCGTGGCCGAGAAGCTAGGTGGTAGCCCCAGGCCTGCCGAGCGCGAACTCGGGCAGCCTCCGGGAAGGAGCCGGCGTCTCCTCGGCCCTTTCCGACCTGTTTATGATGCCAGCTGAACAGTTCACTTTCTCCCCATTATTTTACATTTTCTAAAACCTCTTCCAGCCGTGGTGACGCTCTCCTTCCCGTTCTCTCCTGTCGGTCCTCTAAGGAGACCCTGCAGCTGGTCACTCCCGCAGTGCTGCCCTGCTCGCGGTGCGACCCCTCGGCCCGCGTCCACTGGACTCCAGTCCTTACTTGCAGGCTGGACTCCACGCCTGTCCCCTCCCCCCTTCAGGGATCTGGTGAGGGTTCTTGAAACACAGCCCGTGAAGCTGTGGAGTGTCTGCAGAGAGGCCCTGCAGCTCAGGCTGTCCCTGGCAGGGCTGTGTTCCGGAAGGTGCCCTGGAGGTCCAGAGTCTTCTGCCTCGAGTCACCTCCGGGTCAGCTGGACCGTTCTCACTGGAGTTTTCAATACTTTTTAAGGAAAAAACAAGCATATTTAAAAATCATCGCTGTCTTTGCCTCAGCATTCTTCCCTCTTTGTATAATCTCGTTATCACCAGAGTGCTGTAGTGCTGTCCGTTCTTTCTTTCTTTGGATTACTTTAAAGGTTGGAACCCCCAGACCCCCAGCATCCCAGTAGGAGCGTATTAGTTTCTGGAGAGTCCTTCAGATAGGATCGCGCGCTGGCGTTTGTCGCCTTGCAGATGCTCCATCACGGCCCAGGTGCCGACTGTGGTCACCTTCCCACCCTTCCCCACCTCTCCTTTTTAATATGTTCTTTTATATATTCACCCAGAGTTTTAGCTGATGGGAGAAGACGCTGTCGCGTGTAAGCATGACAGAATTGCATCTTCTGCTACCTGGGATTGCTTTTGAAAGTCCTGTGACTGGACCCCTGAGACCCGCCGTCCCTGCAGCTGTCCTCTGGGGGTCCCCAGGCGGCCCCCAGGCAGCGGCACATCCTCCCGGGGTCCCAGTCTGCAGGGAGACCCCGAGGGCGGTGATTGCCTGGGTCTCCGCTCGTCCCCAGCCTCTCGCGTCCTCAGGCCACTTAGGCCAGAGTCCTGGGCTTGACTGCACGTCAGGAAACTTCGCCTCACGTAGTCGTTGCTGGTCATTTTGAAGTTGAATCTCAGGTTAGCCTCGAGCTGCTGCCGACAGCAGCCTGTGGCAGAGCTGGCCCTGTGCCCTCCAGGTGCTTCTGCTCCGGAAGCAAACTAGGGAAATGCTCCCTGAGAGCCGTGGAGGCGGCCAGCAGGCGCTTGTCAGTCCTGAGTTCACTTTTTGACGTATCTGGGACCTGGGGTTAGTGAGTCCCTTAGACCACGAGCTCAGTGTTCTCCCGTCCGGCCCCCCGGAAGATAAAGGGCTCTAGCAACCGAATCTCCTCTCGGTGGGGGTGTCTTTGGGATGAACAAGCACTTGTCAGCGGGCGGCGACCTTGGCGCGAGAGCCGGGCCCGTGGGCCGGGCAGCACCCGGGTCTGCGTGGCGGTGGCGTGTCACTCCAGGGCGGAGTCACGAAGGCCAGGGCGACGAGCCGGGTAATGGCTGCTTTTCTTCGGAAGGCCTTCAGCATACTTGTATGAAAGAGAAATATCATTGGAGGCGTGTCCTAAGTAGCCTTAATAGCCGTTCATTGATGTCAGTAAATTCCGTCTCGTTTCCCTGCCCAGACCCCGGCGCTGGGAGCCTTTCAGGCCTGCAGCCCGCTGAGGGCCGCGCCATTTCTTAATGAGGCCGCTCCCTTTTGAAGGTGCTGTCAGGCAGCAACTTGAAGCCCTGGTTGGAATTCCGCAGCTCAGATTCTTGCTCTCCCTGGCCAAGTCCATGTTTTCTGTTTTCACACTTAAAGTAATTGGTGCCCCAGGGCAGCGAGCGTGAGCAAATACACATGCGGAATCCGGTGCGCATCTTTTTTTTTTTTTTGGCTGCTTGTTGGGGTTATCTGTTCTGCTCCAGTTTCAGTGTTTCCAAACCTGAGAGAGTGAAAGGACCACTTTCTTTGCCCACTTTCTCATTCTCGCTGAGGACACGTTTTCTGACTCTTCACTTCAGTTCGCGCTTCCCCACAGACGCTAGGGCTTCCTGGTGACGTGTGGCCTCCCCCGCGCCCCGCACGCTGAGCCTGTAAGCGCTCGTCCACCCTTGACCAGGCCGGGATGTGTAGGACCCACATGCCGGCTCGGTGGTGGCGGCTGAGTCTGCTGCAGCTTCTGCTGTTTGTTTTGGAGGGGACTATTTTGAGGACAAACCAGGGTGAATCTTGAACACCTGGGCTGATGTTCCAGTTCGGGAAATGCTGTCCAAGTCACGCTCTTTGTGATGAGCCCGTCCCCGGGGGACGGAGGAGGACACTGCTCTGAACAGCAGAAATGTCCTAGAAACCCGCTCCAGGCGGCCCTGATCTCCTGTCCGGGTGCCCCGTCTCATCACCTTGGGGTCCCCTCACAAGGTCAGACTTGCGCGGGTGGTCAGGCATCTTGTAAAAAGAGCCCGGGGTCTCTGGACAGGTAAAAGTTCATCCAGTACATATTTCATTGGGAACCACTGCTCCAGGACTCGCGCCTCCTGATGGACGGTGGAGGCCTTTGGGCAGCGGGAAGAAGCACTCACCGCCGCGCCATGAGAGCCTGGTGCCTGGTCGGGGCTGCCGTTCGGAATCCGCGAGCTAGAGGGCTCTTGTCACCATGGACGAGGGTAATGTACCCCTGGACGGGGGAGGGCACTTACCCAGCTGTGCGGCGCCCCCAGGGCGGGGCCTCTCCCCGCAGCCAACCTTCAGTGCCCACCCGGTCCGAGGCCCCAGAGCCCTGCTGATGCTGCCAGGCGGAGGCATAGCCTCACCTTCCGGAGCCTGGCTTAGAGGCCTGCGTGGGGAGGCCCCAGCAGAGGCCTGTGCCTGCTCAGGGCAGGTGCGCCCGGGGCTTGTGCTGCCTGACAAGCGGCCCTTGGAGACGTGGGTGACGGTGCAGGGGAAGGCTCCTCCGTTCGGCACCAGGGCTGGTGTTCCCGGAGCTGAGCGAGGCTGCATGGCGCACACAGCGGCCGGGGGTGGCCTCACCCTGGTCATTGGTCAGCGTGTTGGCCACAGCTTGAGATCTGCTTAGCGACATGAAGGAGGCGCCTCTCAAAGCCTAAGGATCTAAAATAAACAGAGGAAACAGCAGGCAGGGGGCGAATCGGCTTCTGGGAATTCCGTTTATGCCTGGGCCTGGGCCTCGGGGCCTCCCGGTGCCCGGACTTCTCCGGCCAGGGCTGTGCTCGGCGCCCAGTCCTCCGAGGATGGGCTGCTCGGTGGGCGGAATTGGGCCCCCGGGAGGTGAGACGCTAGATCTTGAAGTGGATGCCGAGTTACCCGTCGGGGGCATGAGAGTGTCAGAGTTCTTGGTAACAGTGAGGTGTGGGCTCGCCCTGAGGCCTGCAGGGGGCGAGCCCCCTCGCTGCTCAGAGATGACCGGCGTTGGCCGGTGCCTGCGCGGTGCTGGCTGCAGAGGAGGGGACGCCTGAGCCAGGAACACCTGTGTAGGAATCCAGTGGCCACCGAACCTGCCCGGGGTGAGGGAGCCGTGGCCCGGAGCACGAGGCGGGTGGGACTGTATCTGGTGCTCAGGAGACATTGGGCAGGTGGGACATAGTTGTGGCTCAGCAAAGCTCAAGAGCTCGTGGGTCTTGGGCTCCGCTCCCCCTGAGTACTGAGCGGCCTGAGCCCCGCCAGGGCCTTCCCCAGCAGACGCCTGGTCCCCGCAGTTGGTGGGCTGGGCTGAGCTGCCGGTCACAGCCGAGTGGGACATGTCCCCAGAGCATCGGCTCAGCCCCGTGCCCGCAGCTGCTGGCCTGGGGTCTGTCAGAGAAGGGGCTGGAAGCGGGGGCTTGTTTTATCTTACTAGGCTTAGGGTGTGGAACCCCCTGAAGGTCTGGGCATGGCTCCTGCAGTGCAGGGTGGAAACTGGGGGCGTCTGATGTCATCATCAGACCTTCAGGTTGTGGTCCGGCCCCTGGCAGACACTGGAGGGGGCCTGCGCCAGCTGCAGCTGCGCTGTGTCTTCTCTGGGCGCTCGGCTCCCTCCGCTCCCACCCACTGGGCGCAGGGCCGTGCAGAGTGGGCTGCAGCCAGAGCATCCTGGTCCTCAGAGGAGAAGCCCTGAGCTGAGCGCCCCGGCTCTCGGGTACACCCCTCAGTGCTGGGGAGGAGCTCCGGTGCGTTCTCCTGACGGTCCTCCTGGGGGTGTTGTGTGCCACGGAGAGGCTCCTGTCTCCGAAGGGGACCTGAGTGGGGGCCGAGGCCGGCGCCCTGAGGAGCGCCCCCACTTGTGTGTGTGCCTCCGCCTTCCCCTCCTGCGTGGGGTTCCCGGGAGGGACCGCAGAGCCTGCGGAGTTCACCCTGAGAGGGCGTGCCCGAGCTGGTAACTTGAACTTAAGAGGTTTTGTGTTCGCCTGTGGGATGCCGGTTTATGAGTTTAATAACAGTTTGTTGTTTTGTCTGAGCATAATATTTGGGATTCATTGTGAGAGTAATTTTTAATTTGTTTGGACTGAGCATATGGCTTGCGTTTATAGGGATTCCATTCTAGTGAAGCATCAGTCGCGGCCCCATTAAAATAAGGTGTTGCCACGTTGGGGTGCATTAAGCAGGGACAGGTTTGGTCTGTTTCCCAACTTTAAATTCCCAGTGTGCTTGGGCGGGAGGAGGGAGAGCAATGACTCAAACATCTTACTTGCAATTGCAATTAAATGCAGGCCGAAGAGTTAACACTGAAGCGTAGACACCCTGGCCTACATGGAGGACGCCAGGCCGGGCCGCCTCGTACTGTTAACACAGAGGGCAGCGCCTCT